AGTGCCATGGCCGACATGAATTGAGCATCAGCTGATGATAGTGCAAAATTGCTAGGGCAGATGAGGCTTCCAGTTTCTTGTTCTCGGTAGTCTTTCATTTCGGGAATCTAACACAGGACTTACAGCAGGAGTTGCGATGAATCATTGTGTACTCCATGCAACAATACGAAGTAGCAATGACTATCTCAACGGGTAATCACCATGATTTACTTGATGAACATAGACGAACATGTTATTTTAGTGCGGCGACGTGATTTTCCACAAGCTGTTCCGTAGAAATGTCACCGCAGCACTAGGTAATGCCCTGGACTCCCAGCCATCGGTGCAACTGATGCCGGCAACGCCGCCTGCGGAGAGGAAAGACGGTAACAAACTGCGTGGCACATTGATGGGCGTTGGACTTCTCATTTCTTCCCATATCATTGGTTTCATGTTTCAAACTATCAAATCTAGGGAGAATAGAACTTGAAATGCAGGAAGAAATGGCGGGGGAGAATCCCTCCGGATTCTTTTAACACATCATTGTAAGCTATCAGCGAGGGACCTGGCCGTACTTTGGGTGGGGTGCATGCATCTGACCCACTGCAACTTGAAAGTACAAGTATACCAGTAGTACCGCACAAGGCGGTAGCGGAACTTTCAAAATCGAAAACCTATAGGGGAGGTGAGTTGGTGTGACGCAAACATGGCAGAGCGAACCCACTGATGGATTGAAAGGTGGTTGAGTGTTTCTGCCTTTCTGTCTCTCTTTCTCTCTTTGTCTATTTGTCTTGGTATCTCACTATCTGTCTGTGTCTATGTATCTGTCTGTCTGTCTCTCCATCTATTTCTCTAGCTGTCTCTCTGACTATTTGACTATTTATATCTATCTGTCTGTCTGTCCATCTATAGTCTGAACCTCCAAAAGCAGTCCAAAACGTGTACTGGTGTTTTACACATTTTGACTTCGAAATCTGCTTCGCGGCACAGCGGCATACACTTTTATCGACATCTCGACTTCCAAAAGTGGTCCGAGAATGATGTGTTTTGTGCATTTTGACTTCACAATCTGCTTCGCGCCACAACGGCGCACACTTTTTCGACATCTCAACTTCCAAAAGTGGTCCGAGAATGGTGTGTTTTGTGCATTCTCACTTGAAAATCTACTTCGCGCCATAACGGCGTACCCTTTTTCGACTTTCGACATCGCAACCTCAAAAAGTGGTCCGGACCTGGTGTGTTTTATGCATTTTGACTTGGAAATGTGCTTCGCGCCACAACGGCGTGCAACTTTTCATCACTCATCTGGCCAGCTGGCTCCGCACCCGCCGCTTTAGCGAGCCTACTTTTCGAAAATCCGGAGCCACAAATCATTGGAAAAAACACAGTGAATCGCGACTTTCCTACCTTTTTCCGCATCTGCATCTTCTTTCCTCTTACTCTTTCTCTTCTGAGCTTCTCTCTTCTAATCTTTCTCTTCTCTCTGCCTCTTCCCTGCTCTGCTTTTCATCTGTCCATATTGTCGGAAGTTTGACTTCTAAACTTCCTTCGATAATCATAAGTAATTACCACCAAAGATGTTCCATGCCCTCTTCTCGTGCGGTAGCGACGCCATCAAAAGAGGCACCCTGTAAGAAGCCTGCGCATTGTCCACGCCTTGTCATACAGGAATCCTTTCAGCCCTACACATTTGCTGCAGCAGCGGATCGCGCAAGCTGCCCTGCTGCGAGATAGCCGGGACATGACAGGCAACTTTTTCGCATTTCAACGCCCGGACACAAACAGAAATTCAACAATTCATTATAGCAGTGTCACAACTCAATCGTCCTATGGAAATCCAACATGGACCAGTGTGTTGCTGACGCACTCGTGCACTCATGTGCTGCGTGCATCGCTTGGCAGGCGCGCCGCATGCACCAGAGAAACATGTCTGCACATCAGGGCCAGAATAAGCAGCTTGCAGCGGAACAGTGATCTTGGCTTCTTGAACAGTCACACCAGGAGGGTTAACTGGAGAATTGTCCAGGCTCTTGGACATGCTTCCTTGTTCTGCCTCACTGCGTCACATGGAACCTTCAGTGGCGTCATCTCAGCCATGCCTTTGTCAGGAATCCTTTCAGCCCTCGTTTGCTGCTCCAGCAGCGGATTGCACAAGCTTCTGCGGAGAGAAGCCGTCAGGACAGCACAGGCAGGTCCAGCTAACGCGGTTTCACGGGTGCCTTAATTGGAGCCAAGAAGAACATCTTAGTGTCAGACTTTCACTTAATAGTTTGCCGGCCATGAGTTCACTTTCGTCCATCTCATCCTGTGGTGCATGTGTTGTCTTGGCAGGTGCAGAGACTAGCTTTGCGAGACCCGTCCGCAAAAGCGGGCTACCAATCCAACGATTCAGCACGAGCAAGCAGCCTTCATTTTTGTATGGTTTCTGTCACATATCCATGTCTGAGGAGCTAGATTGCCACGATTTTTTCTTTCACGCGGCGAATTTCATGCCCAACAGCCAGTCCAGGAATGAATCTTGTTTCTGTTGGGAGGTAGGTGTAGCACATAGTCATCACAACACCAAGCCTTGCTGCGCCTTATCTCAGGAATCCTTTCAGCCCTCGCATATTACTGCAGCAGCGCATTGCACAAGCGGCTGCGGAGAGTGGTGCCAGCAGCTCGATCGCGCAAGCTGCCCTGCTGCGAGATAGCCGGGACATGACAGGCAACTTTTTCGCATTTCATTGCCCGGACACAAACAGAAATTCAACAATTCATTATAGCAGTGTCACAACTCAATCGTCCTATGGAAATCCAACATGGACCAGTGTGTTGCTGACGCACTCGTGCACTCATGTGCTGCGTGCGTCGCTTGGCAGGCGCGCCGCATGCACCACAGAAACATGTCTGCACATCAGGGCCAGAATAAGCAGCTTGCAGCGGAACAGTGATCTCGGCTTCTTGAACAGTCACACCAGGAGGGTTAACTGGAGAATTGTCCAGGCTCTTGGACATGCTTCCTTGTTCTGCCTCACTGCGTCACATGGAACCTTCAGTGGCGTCATCTCAGCCATGCCTTTGTCAGGAATCCTTTCAGCCCTCGTTTGCTGCTCCAGCAGTGGATTGCACAAGCTTCTGCGGAGAGAAGCCGTCAGGACAGCACAGGCAGGTCCAGCTAACGCGGTTTCACGGGTGCCTTAATTGGAGCCAAGAAGAACATCTTAGTGTCAGACTTTCACTTAATAGTTTGCCGGCCATGAGTTCACTTTCGTCCATCTCATCCTGTGGTGCATGTGTTGTCTTGGCAGGTGCAGAGACTAGCTTTGCGAGACCCGTCCGCAAAAGCGGGCTACCAATCCAACGATTCAGCACGAGCAAGCAGCCTTCATTTTTGTATGGTTTCTGTCACATATCCATGTCTGAGGAGCTAGATTGCCACGATTTTTTCTTTCACGCGGCGAATTTCATGCCCAACAGCCAGTCCAGGAATGAATCTTGTTTCTGTTGGGAGGTAGGTGTAGCACATAGTCATCACAACACCAAGCCTTGCTGCGCCTTATCTCAGGAATCCTTTCAGCCCTCGCATATTACTGCAGCAGCGCATTGCACAAGCGGCTGCGGAGAGTGGTGCCAGCAGCTCGATCTTATCCTACGGCGCATGCGTTGCCTTCGCAGGCGCAGAGACTAACTTTGCGAGACCCGTCCGCAAAAGCGGGCTACCAATCCAACGATTCAGCACGAGCAAGCAGCCTTCATTTTTGTATGGTTTCTGTCACATATCCATGTCTGAGGAGCTAGATTGCCACGATTTTTTCTTTCACGCGGTGAATTTCATGCCCAACAGCCAGTCCAGGAATGAATCTTGTTTCTGTTGGGAGGTAGGTGTAGCACATAGTCATCACAACACCAAGCCTTGCTGCGCCTTATCTCAGGAATCCTTTCAGCCCTCGCATATTACTGCAGCAGCGCATTGCACAAGCGGCTGCGGAGAGTGGTGCCAGCAGCTGTCCTTCGCTTCGCCCAGCTCCTTGGCAAGCAGTGAACGGTGGAAGTCAATGACTGGCGGCGGTGGCATTTGTTGTTCCGATCTTTCTGAGACTGAGTCCTGCCATCCTTTCCATCCTGTTAGGCACAAAGCAAGGACGAGCCGAGCAAGCCATCTGCCGCCTCTGCCTGGACCCCGCCGATTCCTTGCTTGACTCCCGTGGAGGCGGCTAGAGTTCAAAGTTATCGAAGAAGTCAGGAAGCCTTGGATAGGAACCTGGCGTCAGCAACAGCGAATGCCACTTTATCTTTCGAAACATTTATGAATCTTCACCTTTGTCACTACCGTTGATCGCCCAATTTCAGCCGAGAGAAAAAAGGGCGACTGAGGCAGGCGCAAGGTCACATTGAAATTCAGCAGGGCAATCCCATTATCCAGGCCAGTGATGCAGCATGCATGGGTGTGAAGCATAGGTGGTGAACTTTTTCGACTGAATGCAGGGCAATCCCGTCATCCAGTCAAGTGAACAGCATTGCAATGCTCTGCTGCGTGGGTGTGAAGCATAGGTGGTGATTTTTTTCGATTGATTGGCAAATAACATGTCAGAATTTAAGGCAGGTTGAAGATCAGAACACATGCCGGCAATGCTAGACAAAACGAAAGATGACATATAGACTATCAGAATATATTATATGTCAGACAAGATGCACCTTTGGGACGCAAGCTCGCAAATGTGAGTAGTTGCAAGCACCATGGGCCGGTCAACGCCGTGGACGGCAAAAGAGCCTTTCAATATTGAGAAAGCTGACTGCACCAAAATTGAGTGGAGACGATATATATGCAAACATATTGAGGCGCGTTTGGGGTGTGCAGAAAGGATTGCAAAATCATGTAACTCCAGGTCTGCTGGATCACACCTTGAGAAACCAATTAGCAAATCGGCAACTGCCATTCACATCCAAATTCATCCCCCAGACCCGCTGCCACTGTAGCCGCTAGCCCAGATACTTCGTTCGCTATAACAGCCTGTCCAGCTGATGTTGCCCTGGGCCAGGCAGCAGGTGGAAAGTGCAAAGTAAACAAAGTTGAGGAAGACGCGGAAGGTCGCTTCCGGGGATGGGCATCTTGCATTGCAGAGCCCGGATGCAAAGTCTCGATGAGATTTGTGCCTCGAAGCAAAACGAACCTTCCTTTTTCATTAACTTTTTCGATATGTTACTGAAGACAACTTTCTCTTCACCAGTAGTATTGCCACTGAGCATTCCGAAACCTTGTCATGTTGTCTGTGTCTGTGTCTGCTCCCCGGCTACAAGGTGAAGAATAAGGACGAGATCACTACAGCTTGGGAACAGTCGGGAGACCACCCCGAAACCGTGGAAGAGAGTGCGCAAGCTCGTGGCAAGGTTGCAGCAGCCAAGCGAGTAGCGCACTTGACCCCAGTGGCTGCGCAAGCGCAGCTGATGAGTGAAGGGATGGGTGGTGAAGATCTACCAAGCATGAAAGCACTCCACAAGGCACGCCGAGCACATGTTGGCGGCAGCAGCAGCAAAGGTTCAAACCAGCGCATGACAGGTGAAGACTGGTTGAAAAAGATCCAAGCCGAAATAGCAACGGAAAAGTTAGACAGGGACTGTGTTTGGCACCCCTTGGTCCGCACGGCAGGGTGGCTACCACTGGCCGCACTACACAAGGAGCCACCTCCCTGTGCAGAAGGGAGCGTGCTCCTCATGTCACGCAACCAGCAGAAGTTGGCGGAGAAGCTGTTGGCAGATGGCCACAACAACTCGAAGAAGGTGAATGTCTTGATCAACACTACTTGGAAAATTGTCGTCGAAGGCTCGTTTCCACAACAATCACGATGTCACATATGTTTCAAAGTTTCGACATGCTGACCAATTTTGCCACCTATAGAGTTCAATGGCGGAATCCCAGATATTTGAAAAATAGTTTTCCAGACGTATGCGCTTATCTTGATCGTGGCAGGCTGGGGACTTTGTTCCATTGGCATTGGTCACAAGCACTACTATCGAAACCTGCCGGCATCGGAATCCGTCGTCGTGGCCTGCGGCTGGATTCCGAAGGAAGGCTATCAAAGCTTTTGGGCCTTGCTGGTGACATTCTTCACCATTCTGGAAGATGCAGGTGGGGGCGTCGTGAATCCATCCCTCTGTCCATCCATACGATATCCATCCATCCACCTATCTGTCTATCCATCTATCTAACTATCTATCCATCTATCTATCTATCTATCTATCCATCTATCTATCTACCTATCTATCTATCTATCTATCTATCCATCCATCTGTTTATCTATCCATCTAGCTATCTATCTATCCATCTATCTATCTATCTGTCTACCTATCTATCTATCTATCCATCTATCTATCTATCTATCCATCTGTCTATTTGTCTATCCATCTGTCTATCTGTCTATATATCTGACTATCTGTCTGTCTGTCTAGTCATCTATCTGTCTATATGCTCTATCTCTTTATCTTTCTATCTATCTATCTTTCTGCCTGTCTATCTATCTACTACTTTCCAACTATCGGTCAATCTGTTTCTCCCGTGTTGCACTTTGTTTTGACATGTTGCCAGCCAGGTATCCCGTTGCTGGATCACACCCGAGCCTTCATCACAGACGGGGCACAAGGAGCCATTGCAACATTGGCAACGCTTTTTCCTGGAATCCCACACCTGAGAGATTTGCGACACGTCTTGGCCAATTGCAGAAAGATCCCTCCTCGTATCAGAGGGCCAGATAACGCGGTAGCATTCTGGCTGAGTGCAGAGGTGGCTTGGACGGCCTTCTTGCCCAGCTTATATCTTTTTGACAAAGTCTGGGCCCATATCCAGCTGAACAACACGATCCAGGGCCAGGGCTACCACAAACTGAATCACTATGTGGTGAAAGAATTGCTACGATGGGAGGAGACCACCAGCTGTGTTTGAGCTTGATTTTGTCCAGTGCAGTATTGTGGATGAAGACGTGCTCTAGCATCAAACACATGTTTTTTTATTGGACATCACGCCATATGGCCATATGGTAACAACGCCTGCTTTGCTTTGTTCCACACCAGCTAGAATCACTTTTCTCATGTCTCTTTGTTCAAGACTCCTTGAATCCCCTTGTTATTGTAGAATCACCTGTTGATCTGTTGCAGGAGAAGTTGCAGTGCCACACAGCCTTGTGGCTGTGCGGCCTTCCTGCGCCTACGGTGTGCGGGTGGACCTGCGCCACAGAGTTTCAGGCTCATGAACGATGGAATGGTGTCTTGAAAGATGGTATGCCAGGTGTGGAGCGCAACTCAATGACTTTGGCCACCGCGACTGCATCGCTTAATTGTTCTATCAGGAGCAACTTCAAAAATTGAGGTTGGACAGATGGCGCTGAGGAAGTGCCAGCACAGAAGGTCTTGCTAGGTGAATGCTTGTGGCCTGGTGGTATCAATGCGGAGCAGGTGTGCCAGCGCATGGTGAGCGGCGATCCAGTGATGGGCTCGGCCATGGAAGAAGAGGAGGGTCACTGGCAGACTTGTAGGCTTCCGTGTCCACTTTGAAACTTGTTGCGCATCGCGACTATGCTTGTCCATTGGCATCAGTGCTGTAGCAAATCTATTTCTTGCATCCTCCCTTTCTTTTGTTTGAAAGTTTCCCACAGGGCTTCCAATCTGGAAATACTAGGAGTTTCCTGCCATGATGATCTTGCGAATCATGTTTTAGAACGGCAGTTTTAGTTTTCGAACAGCATTTACAATGCAGACCTTCACCTCGATTAAATGGAATTGATTCGGCGCAGGAATCGCTTCAAAGACGAATGTGGCCAGCAGTCAAGTACGTGCACTCCTTGCCCGACAACGTGTACTCTGGGCAAATTTGGCAACTTTGGCTTGGAGCCGGTGAGAGTCTATGTGATGCCTTGCTACTCACCATGGATGTCGGTAGATGGAGCAACAGGCGCGGCCTATGTCGCCTTGCTGGCGGCCGACAATGAGGATGACTTCTGGCAGGCCGCTACAAGTTTGCAGATCACCAGAGACGATCGGGATTATCCCCAGCAACGCCGCTTGAGTCTCTCCAGTCTGAGGCATTTGGTGCAAGACTTGGCCCTTGTTTTGACGATGCGGCGGCAGTGGAAGCATTTCCGCTTTGTTTGTACCTGCGTCTTGGCTTACAACTCTTGTTTGCACCTCTCTGGACCCATCGTCCTTCCTTTTTACACAGAAACATCACATAGAGTTCTGCAAGCCTTTCCATAGTAAGGTTTTGGGATTTCGCTATTGTGTTCGAACTTGGTTGGCGAGGTCGAAATTTTGCTACATATGGTGCCTGCAGTCACGTTCTCTTGACCCGATGGCTAGAAGCTGAGCCAGGTGCAACATGGCAGTGCACAAAAACATTTTCAGTCAGGTACATTTCAGTTTCTGCGATTGTCAATTCTGAGTGGTTTGAAGTGAAAAACTTTCCAACAGATTGCTTTTCCAGTCTGAGGGTTTGCCTGTTGCCAGGAGAGGACTGTGGGGTGTTCCTTGCCACGGTTGACGGTGCAACCAGAAAGGCACGCCATCATATTTGGACCCGGGATGATGAAAGGGTCTTCTTGGATTCACCGAAAAACAATTGACAAGAAGGACAACTACAACTCCCCTGCACTAGAAGTGCAACTGCAATATGCACTATGCAACACCGTGTTCATATGTCGGCCTAGATGGTGTTCAAGCAGCACAAAGGAAACATACATAGACTGCGACAGCCAGAACGACTTTTTGCAACATGACCCACATAACACGAGGTCAACCTGCATCGTCTCATTCTTGTCAGTTTTGAATGAACCTTTTTTCCTACCAGTAGTACCGCACAAAAGGCGGTGGCGAAAGTTTCAAAAATAGGAAACCTATAGGAGAGATTGCTTGTTGTGAATCAGAGATGGCCGAGCGAAGCCACTGCTGGACTGAAATGCGATTGATCTCTCTCACTCTTGTCTACCTGTCTATCTGTCTGTCTATCTATCTATCTCTCTATCTATCTATCTATCTACCTATCTATCTATCTATCTCTCTATCTCTCTATCTCTCTATCTCTCTATCTATCTATTTATCTATCTATCTATCTATCTATCTATCTATCTATCTATGTATCTATCTATCTATCTATCTATCTATCCGTCTATCTAGTAATCCATCTGTCTACCTGTCTATCTGTGGTGCAGTGTCATTCAGTGTCATGTAGTGTAGTGTAATGTAGTGTAGTGTAATGAAGTGTAGTGGAATGTAGTGTAGTGTAGTGTAGTGTCGTGTAATTCAGTGTAGTGAAGGGTAGTTGTGCAGTCGTAGGTGTAGTTGTAGTGTAGTGAAGTGTTGTGTAGTGTAATTTAGCTGAGTGTAGTGAGAGGTAGTGCAGTGTAGTGTAATGCACTGTAGTGAAGAGTGTAGTGTAGTGTAGTGGAGTGTCGGCGTGTAGTTGGAGAGATTGCTTGTTGTGAATCAGAGATGGCAGAGCGAAATCACTGCTGGACTGAAAGGCGATTGATCTCTCTCACTCTTGTCTACCTGTCTATCTACCTATCTATCTATCTATCTAACAGCGTGCACTTTTTCGACATCTCAAGTGCATCTGTATCTTCTTTCTTCTGACTCTTTCTCTTCTACTCTTCTCTCTTCTAACCTTTCTCTTCTCTCTGCCTCTGCCCTACTCTGCTTTTCATCTGTCCGTATTGTCGGACGTTTGACTTCTAAACTTCCTTCGAACATGTTGTTACCCATACATCCTTCTCTTTCTTGCCAGACTGTGTCTGCTGCAGGCTGGTCCAACGACTCTTCTAGAAGCAGAGACAGAACTCCGTCAACGTCATTTTGGCGGCAGACGTGCGATCAATCCGCCTGCTTCAGCATGGTCTACAAGGACGGAGATTGAGTTGAAAGCGCAGAAGCGCGTTGCGGACCGCAAGAGCAAGAATGAGGGGAGGAAGGAAAGGACCAGCGAAATGCTGGCTTCTCCAGAGCCAGCCAAGAAGAAGCAGAAGATGCAGTGGGTGGACGTGCTAGAAGGACAAGAAAAGTTGAAAGCTTGTGAGAGCATCAGGAACAAAATGATGCAAGACTTGAGTTTTTTGCAACAGGTTCAGCTCTGCCATAAAGTGGCGCAGTTGCAGCTGAGTCTGCAAGAAGCACGAAAGCTGGATCTGGTTGCCTGGGCGCATGCTAGAACCAGCACGGAAACTAATACAGTCCTCCGCTTTTTGTGTTCCAAGCTTCTGCAGCAATGGCGGTAAAAGGTTGAAAAGATTTGGCAGTTCCGGGATCCGCTGTCCCCAGTTTGCAAATCACACCTCATAGTTTCCAAATCATAGTTTCCAAATCCGCTGTTATAGTTTCCAAATCACGTAGTTTCCAAATCATAGTTTCCAAATCTGTTATAGTTTCCAAATCCGCTGTTATAGTTTCCAAATCATAGTTTCCAAATCATAGTTTCCAAATCCGCTGTTCTCAGTTCCCAAATCCGCTGTTATAGTTTCCAAATCATAGTTTCCAAATCATAGTTTCCAAATCAGCTGTTCCCAGTTTCCAAATCCGCTGTTATAGTTTCCAAATCATAGTTTCCAAATCATAGTTTCCAAATCCGCTGTTATAGTTTCCAAATCCGCTGTTATAGTTTCCAAATCACTCGGTGACCAACTGGAACCTGTCACGTCACTGCTTTGTTGTTGTGTGGTTGTTTGTCTTTTGTGTGGGTTGTTTTTGTTTGGGTTTGTTTTTGGTGCTGTTTCTGCTTTGGTTCCTTGTGTTTCGGTTTTTGTTCTTTTGAACGTGACGAGGGAATAGGACTATGTATCGGTCCTCTACCAGTTTACTTTTGCGGCCACTACAGCTTCGGCCCCTGCGTGAATTAATTAATTAATCTCATATGCAACATGCTTGGAAACATGTTGAACGACCTGGCGGAAGCCATACGGCGTTGGACGGAAAAAAAATCCTTGTATGTTATTGTGTGATCATCATCGGTCTGGATGATCTGGTACCATATTGGTAAAATGATGCTTTGAGGTGAGCATTTTTAGTGATGGTTGAGGTATTTGACCTCTACTGAGTTTGTACATCATGGTGTCCATCTTCATCTCAGAGCTGAATCTGGACACTGGATGAGGTATTTGACTTCTACTGGTTTGTAGTTTGTGATGCCCATCTTCATCTATCAGAGCTGAATCTGGACATTGCATTACGATTGAGACTTTTGCTTTCCGTCGTGTACATTTATAGCTGGTGATTCTGCATTGCACGGTTTTCTGGCGATTTCATCGAGATTATTCGTTTTGGTTTTGCTGGAGATTGTGTGATGTAGAGCAGAACTTTCTCTCCATCATGTTTCAATGGAACTTTGTTTTAGCTGAACGGGACGTTTTGGAGAGCGAACATGAGGTTTGAGGGAGTTTTGTGAACCAGGAGAACATTGTACAGAACATTTGTAATCATCTACTTCGTTCTTGAGTGTAAAGAACTCTGGTTATTCACGTTTGGATTAGATCCGGATTATTTGAGAACTTTTGGAAGTAGATCAAGCTTTAGTAGCTAGCTGAATTTGTGACTCAACGCAATTTGGAATTGTTCAGTCGACCTTTTAGGAAAGGTCGTGGTTTTTGGACCTGGAATTGCGTTTCCTCATCAGACATTGGCTCGAGGGAGCTTTAGTGTCATCATGTTCAGAATTGAACGGAACTGAGTATCACAATCAGCAGATCAGCATGTGACCTTCGCTTTTGGGGTTTTGGCTCTTGCAGGTGTGTCCTGCTTGAGAACTTGCCTCCTTTGTGTTGCGTCCGAGCAAAAGACCGAAGCTGGCGTTTGCACCTAGGAGTCGAGGTTGAAACTCCGTGTTTAGGTTTTCGAGGTTCTGACTTCCGGAACTTGGGTTTGATCTAGGAAACTAGACTTTACCATTGAGGCCGTTTCTTTGCGCCAGCTGCGGTCTAAAATTCCAGCAAACCAGCACAGTTATTAACTCCTTCAAGTTCAGCTTGCTGGAACTTCAACAGCACAGTTTCGATTCTCTGTGGGCCTCGCTTCTGCCAATACGTTTGCGTCCGAGGCGTGATCTGCGCTCGGCCTTGCCGAGTCTCGAAGCGCTCAGGCTTAAACATCCCTATTTCATCAACATTACTTAACAGAAAAGAAAAGATTGTCATGATTACGAGAAGCAGATACAAGGGGGCTGGTTTTGGATTCGGTTTTGGATTCGGTTTTGGCACCTGAAATTGATATGATTTGGGGATGGACGCGTTATCGATCAGCAACCTGACTTACTCTGAGCCTGGCTCTCCGTTTCCGGACTGCAGAGAGGGGTTAACTGACCGCCTGTCTAACTTGGTGTTGCTCCCGGGTATCGAGCCCAGGACCGGTCGGAAGAGGGACGCCGCCGTAACCACCGAGCTATTACCGGACCCCTGATTTGGGGATGGAGTTGAGCCTCCTTTGTTTGAGGCCCTGCTTGGGTGCGCTTAAAACAAGACCTCCAAGGAGGTGCCGGATTCAACCTGTTGAGGTCTAGGTTTAGACCTCCGTGCAAAGGAAACGTGTTGAAAAAAGGGGTCACAAAGTCGACCCCCTTGAAATCAAAAGTGGTTCCCTCTGGAAGGTGCAGTTTTGGCTTCTTCATTGTAGCAAATCTGTTGAAGGATTTATTTCAATGGGTTCGTTTTTGGCACTTCAAACTGACATGATTTGGAGAAGGAGTTGGGGGACCCTCCCTTGTAGCATGGTTTCGAAAGCGGGTCAAAATGTTTCTTCCACCGGGACATCGCCCTGTGTGCTATGTGGATGACTGTGATGCAGAGCAACATCAGCTTGAAAAAATTCGTGTCTTGGACAGCCCAGAAGATGCGAAGTCAGGTTAAGAATATTTTCGATGAATTCCAGATTAAAGACTGGGGCGATACATCCGACCAAGATCAGAAGACTCGACAGCGCTTGAATGTGGCAAAGATGGATCCTCTTGAAATGTACCAGCTGATGGACGAAGAGATGAACAAAGAAGGTGGAGAAGAAACCCGTGAGCGATACACTTATGAAGGTCGATGATGGCCGAGAACAAGATCAACGAGATCCAAGTGTGGCGAGATCAACAGTGACGCTTTCTGGATCGCCTCATGACAATCCGTATGAGCCCCGTAGTGCCGAAGCGAATGACCCAGGACAAATCCCACCATTTGGAGTGACTGGGATAGGTTAGAAAACATACTTCCGTATTTCCCACGTCTCCAAGCTCAACGCGTGGAAAGAATTAATGAGGTTAGGATTTTCAATGGCTACATATTTATAGACTACTGAGTGCTGCAAAAGCCATCTGATGACTCTTTTCCCAGGCCAACCGGACCTAATATGGGATTATGTTGGCTGGTGGACGCTGCGTGACATCCATGGATGCTCAGTGTTCAAGGATCTAGTGATCAAAAGAAAACAAATGGACAATTTCGGAGCCTTTTGTGAACAAGGTTCATGCAAACAGATCCAGCACTGGTGTATCGAAGAGATGACTAGCAAATTGACATCTCGTGGCTTCACTGCCAATGTGAGGCGGGGTGTCAAAGTTTTACTGCATGCATAGTATCTGTTCATATCAGTGTGCCAGGTGCTGATGTGACATGTTTCAACACTCCACGTGACTCCGTGGAACCGCCGCAGTCAAGTGGCTTAAGCTGGGAAGGAAAACCGACGTGACCGAGTGATTGGCTGGCTTTAACAAAATCAGAAAGTAGTTAAATTGGCATTTTTTTCCAAAAAATCAAAAAAAAATTAAAAAGGAAATTGAACTTAATGACTTTACGATTTAACGGCTTTACGCTGCCCCTGGTGTAATGTAAAAAACAAGTTTTGGGAAAACCTTTTAGTATTGTGGTGCACAGTACCAGCGTGCGGCAACAGCAACTACTAGTGGGTGACGCGTTTTGACTGACGGAAATCCAGCCGAAATTTGAAGCCACTTCCAGCTTCACAATATGTTCATGAAATCTAAATTAAAAACACATGAGGTACGGAATGGTTTGCAACATGAAACAAACGAACAGTAAGTAGTTAAGAAGAAACGTCGCCCTCATAAATGGCCAAGAACCAAGGAAACAACAAGTGAACCAACGAAACTGCCGCCCTCAATGATGACAATTAACGCATATGTGACAATGTTTCTTTCCAATTTAGCATTTCCAACAAATGCATTTTTGTCATCAAGGAAACTGGCGTTTCGGCTGAACTACTTAATGTGTTTTTGTTGAGGAAAAAAATGCCAGGGGCTCAGAAAAAAAAACAAAATTTACGGAAATAAACAAAAATATCGAAACAAAAGGAAATTCAAGGAACTGAAGAGCTACAGGGAAATATGCACAGAAATTCGAAACCCTGAAAGAAGTTAGGGGAAATGAACAAAAAATATCGGGAGAATGAACATGGAAAACAGTGACAATAAATAACCGATTCGGGGAAATAAATAACGAACCTCCGGAAGTAAATAAACAATGTAAGAAAACAAATAGCGAATGCAGAAAACAAAGAGAATGAACGCAGTAGATCTTAATTAGAGAACGCAAGGAAATAAATCGTGAATCCAGGGCAGCAACCAAGGAACCCGAAGCATTCCAGCAACTTAATAAGGAACTATTGGAAATGATTACGGGATTCAAGACTCAAGGAAATAAAAAATGCACTGGGGGACATAAATGCGGATTGAAGGACATAAATCAGGAACCCCGGGAAACAAAAAGAGGTTCAGGGTCGGGAACTCCGGGAAAAAAAAAATCAGGGAAATATATAAACGTTGAAAATAACTTCAAATTTCACCCGGAGTTCCGTCAACCAAAACCATTCGATGATTGTTTCGAACTAGTTGCAACCAACTGAGAATAACTGTTGTTGGATACTGACTAGTGTAGGGTCCCCCCTCAACAATTTTGGTCTACTCAATAACTCGGCATTCTCTTGGGGACCAGGTCTGGGGAACTCAGGATGATCAACTCAAGTAAGGATTTCAATTGAAATCAATATGCGTTGAACTGTTTTTCCTTTTATTTTAAACCTAAAAAAAAAATATTGAGAAAACAAATCAATTGAAATCAGTTTACGTTCAATTGTTTGAACTTCAAAAGCAATATTGATGAAAAAACAAATTGAAATCAATTTACTTTCAATTCATTTCAATCTATTTTCAATTGATTTTCCTTTTCAACATCGAAAACATTTATTGATAACAAAAGGGTTCAATTGAAATCAATTTACTTTCAATTTGTTTGAATTTACTTAAAATTGATTTTCCTCTTTAAATGTAAAAAAAATGCCTTGACAAATTGCCGGGGCGCTGTTTTTTTTGTGATCGGTTTCATTTTTTGTGATCCGTAAAGCTGGGCCACAAAGCCACGAAAATTTAGGCAGTGTGGAAAGCGTGATGCATTTGCTCAGAGAACAGCTGGGACTGTGCAGAGCGAGTATCAGGATTTGGGTTGCAGATTGTTTTTTCGAAACCTGCGTACTTGAACCCATTGCCGGCAATGTGAGACATGTCGCAATTGAGACAGTTCCGATTTGATTACAGTTTCGATTTGATCAGGCCTTCAATGTTTTTTTCGTTGTAGCCTTTGTTTTGTAATTTTTCCTGATTGACCAGTTTTACAATTTTCCGTTTTGACAACCATCAGCCAACAACACAGCACGACCGCCACCACCACCACCACCACCAACAACAACAACAACAACAACCTATATTTTTACGACAAAGGCACGAACAACCAAAACCACCACAACAAGGGGGAACAACCACAAAAAAAAACCATAAACAACAACGACCGCAACCACAACCGCACAGGAGAAAATGAAACAAAACACAATTGTGTATGTGTTTTTTCTTGGAAGGCAGCGTTGCGCCCGCACCCCATGTTCCCTTCTAGTTGTTGCTATATTGTGTTTGTTCCCATTTTGACCTTTTGATTGTTTCGATTACAAATGAATAGGTTCGCAAATTAACGTTTCATTTTTTTGTGTTTCAAACGTCGTATGACTTGCAGTGTGGACAGGGCTGTAGTACTGCATGTTCCGTGCGAACTGGAAAATGGAATTTCACAATTTTGCAAATACCATGCACAATGGAAGGTTGAAACTCAAAACGTGTTACACACATCATGCAACATGAAGGGTTTTGATTCTAAAATGGAAACTCCAATTCCACAGTGCCGCAAATACCATGCGAAATGAAAGGTTCCAGTTTCCGGAGTTATGAATACCATGCCAAAACAACAATTACAAAATCCGAAATGCTGCAATACGCAAAAAAAAGGTTCCAATTAGCAACAAACAAACCTCCCAAAATCACATCTGGGATTGGGGTGTGCTTGTTGCGGAATTGTTTGAAACATTCTGGACACATCATGAATAACATTGATTTCTTGCCGAAAATCGTTCAAATATTTTGTGCCCCGTGCTTTTGCAGCTGTGAAAATCTGGCCAGCAACCCAAAATGCCAAACAGATCAAACACAAGCTGTTTGGTTGTAACGTGGCATTCAAAATCTTGTTTCGGTTTTTCAAATGGATCACCCACTCAACAAAAACCAACACACATGAGGTTTGAATTATATAATATGTTTAAATACGCCTTCTAAACATACAAATTGACGTGGACGTGCCACGTTTGGGGTTTAAGGCATTCAATGTGTGGAAATCCATTCCGTGTGATTGTTGCATCACTTTTTCTGAGTACACCCAACATTTGTGGCCATTTTTTTGTGTTCCCAAAGATGATTCGGCCAAAACATGGCGCTGCAAAGCGAGCGGTGTTGGCAGTTTTCTTTGTGCCTCAGCATTGGTTTGCGCGTGAATTGTGATTGAAGGAATGTCAGGGAAATAATTTCTGCAGATAATGTATATTTGATTTGTGTTTGAAATGGGTATCCCCAAATTTGATACTAGTTCGTCCATGTCCATTTGTAGGTTCTTTGACATTTTTCAAACACACCCAATTGAACAACACATCATTGCATACACAATTTTTGGATGGCATGATTCCTACATGCTGCTTGTGTTGCAGTGCGGGGTATCGTTGACCAAGGCCTACTTGGCAAGTTGTGCATTCACCCCAACACCACCGCGATCGTCACGATCTTTACACCATGTGGTGTGACATCCCAAAGAACCAAAGGATGAATTGGGCAGTGGTCAAAATTGAAATGGCTCAAATCTTAGGGTGTTTTCAATGTTTTCGGTCAAATCCAGTGGTATTATTGGGGATCTTTTTGGCAAATTGCACATCATTTTTTTGGTGCACCCCCACGAATTCATCAACCACCAGAATGTCAGGTAATTGCTTTGAAGAAAATCATATTTCCAGATGATATTGATTAAAATTTGCCACCCAAACTCTGATGAAATGTGGGATGTTGAATAGTACCACCAAATCAAACAAAACTTTAAGGTCCAACGGTCCAGAAATCCAACAAATTACAAAACGTGCGTTTCTTTCCCACCAACACATGATTCTGCAATGTGAAATGGCAAAGGTGTTTTTTTTCTTCCGGTGTGTTGCTGGGTATTTTCTTGGGCACAGCTGTCCAGGGTTTTTCTAACCGATCTGCTACCGTGGCCATAAAATGATGACCAGCTAGGCGATGATCGGATGCAAAGGAGTCCTACTCTGGTTGCGTCCACATTCACCGTTTTACCATGTCGAAAACACATGTTTTTTTTTGTGTTTCGCAAGTGTGCTGGTGGCGGGTGAACATCAATGGATGATATGAAAACATTGCATCCACGACAAAAAAAAACACATATGGGTTTGTCTTACTCATGTTTCCCAGAATAAGTCATTTTGAGGTATCCAGTATCTCCTATTTTCAGTCAGACCCCCATCCAATACCGGAATATTTGCTGGTAAAACAATGGTTTCTATTAGAATGACGAAAAGAACCATAACATAAATTGTACTATGTATAAAATGACATATATTATATATACTGTATACATATAAATACTAGAAATTATATATATATATATTTATATTTATATATTTATATATTTATATATATTTATATATATATATATTTATGTATATTTATGTATATTTATGTATATTTATTTTATATCTATTATAAATATACAATATACGTGTATTCGCCATGGCCGCCATGCCAAGGCCGCCATGGCGGCTTCCGACAGCGAGGCTCTGAGAGGATGATGGTGAAAACATGGTGGAAAACACCATGGTTCTTAGGTTCCAAACTATGGAAACAATGGTTTAAATCAATGTTTAAATTATGCTAAACATGCTGGTGAAACATTGTGAGGTGAAACATTGTGATAAAAAATATAGGAAAACCCAACCTTTGATATCTTTGATGGCATTTACTAGGATACCAACAATAGATGAGATGTTCAAAACGCTTACTGGTTGATGGACAATTTCCAGAGGGGTAGATTTTAACGAAATTCGATTCTCAGTGTTTATGTTTGGATATTGGTATGTTCACTTTCAGGTTTTGTTTAAATTTTGGTAAATCGAACCTGTTCTACATCTTTAAACTTGACAGGTTTGATTTGTCTATGGATATAGGAATGGAACAACACGATATTTCCACAACGCCCATGGTTTCATTTGTCTGGTAATCCCACTCGCCCATGGTGAATTTAGTGAATCTCCTCAGCGCCAGGCAGCTACAGCCGCTGCCCCAAAGGCTTCAAAGCCGGCCAAATCAGAGGCCAGAAGTCTTTCATGACATGACGATTGCGAAGCTGACACAGCCGGGCCATGCCGTTTTTCATGGCCTTAAATGGACCAGCATCATGGGGTACCCGAACTTTGCCTGGGATGAGTTGGTCCGTTATTTCAAAAATGGTCCCCTACACCGATTGGACATCAGCTGATCAGCTTTTTGCCCGACAGGATTTACCACAGCAGTTGGGACGGGCCATCACTGATGCCGTGGCCGGTGCTGCGCAGAGTGTAGGCTGAGAACATGGCTTAACTCAAAGGACTAGGGCGGGAGAAGCATCATGACTTGGGAATGTGCCAATCCAATATTGGTTATTGAGCTTTGATAGGAAAATGGGCAACCATCAAGAAATCATGATAAGAAAATGGTGGTTTAATTTAACTTGGTGAAAACCATCGTTAAACGGGGATATACAGTTAACATATTCCTAAATACACCCCCAGGAATCCAGTACGGTCACGATTGGGACGCGCAGGGCAGTCAGCTGCCAACGCTCTGCAAAGCAAAGTGGAGGAAACGCAAGCCTCCATCAAAGCAGAGGCTGATTTCTTTGGTTGAAACAATGGTGATTTTGACATGCCCCAAATTGGGAGTTTTTTTTTTTTTGCGAAAAACAAAGCACTCAAAGTGGAACTGCACCCTTTTTTGTGGTAGCCCTATGTTCACATCAATAGCTGGTAGTCCTGGGTCCTCCGCCGGCAGATTGACGCCATCCCGGGCAAGATCAGTGGTGCTGCGCAAGATGCGGTGGAGCAGCAGAAGCAGAAGGTGGGTCCCATGGGGTTTTTGCTGCAGAAGCTGCTGCCTTTTGAACCAACCATTGGACCATCCCATGAACCATCATGAGAACCATCATCCCAGTTCTAGAGGTATATCCAAGCTAAAAAATCCCTTAGCCGACCCATGAAATAAATATCAAGCCGACCCACTATTCGAAATCATGGAAAATCGTAGGACCCATTTAGGGAGTGTTAAATGTTAGGGGGATGGGATGATTCCTTTTTTTGTCCCAGTTATAGCGGTATAGCCAAGTTTATCTCCCATCCTCCCATAGTTATCACGTACTTACACTCCAGTAAACTACGTAAACTAACGTAGCTACATTGAAAATGGGGCATTTATAGGTGAGTTACCTCTGTTACCTCTCAAACCTTGTGATTCTCCATGGTTATATTAGTTTACCAGTGGGTACTGTATCCCATATTGTTCCACTATGGCGTCGTCGCAGATCGCCGCCATTCCGGGCAAGATCAGTGGTGCTGCGCAAGATGCGGTGGAGCAGCAGAAGCAGAAGGTGGGTCCCATGGGGTTTTTGCTGCAGAAGCTGCTGCCTTTTGAACCAACCATTGGACCATCCCATGAACCATCATGAGAACCATCATCCCAGTTCTAGAGGTATATCCAAGCTAAAAAATCCCTTAGCCGACCCATGAAATAAATATCAAGCCGACCCACTATTCGAAATCATGGAAAATTGTAGGACCCATTTAGGGAGTGTTAAATGTTAGGGGGATGGGATGATTCCTTTTTTTGTCCCAGTTATAGCGGTATAGCCAAGTTTATCTCCCATCCTCCCATAGTTATCACGTACTTACACTCCAGTAAACTACGTAAACTAACGTAGCTACATTGAAAATGGGGCATTTATAGGTGAGTTACCTCTGTTACCTCTCAAACCTTGTGATTCTCCATGGTTATATTAGTTTACCAGTGGGTACTGTATCCCATATTGTTCCACTATGGCGTCGTCGCAGATCGCCGCCATTCCGGGCAAGATCAGTGGTGCTGCGCAAGATGCGGTGGAGCTGCAGAAGCAGAAGGTCCAGACGGTGAAAAAATGGTGGTTTAACTATGAAAAGGGGAGGGTTTAATGGGATTTGATGGAGAATTCATGGAAGCCAAGCGTTTTCATGGAATTAGGATTATGTATTATAATGTGATGTATTTATATAACTAAGCAGCAAAACATGATATATTGAGTGTGTCTGACTTTTTAAAATGGGATCTGTCCCTAGTTATAGCCATTTTAATAGGGAAATGAGGTTCTAATCCTTTGGAATTCCGGGTAAATAGATGTTACCCATTTTATGTTTCTTTTGGCTACTGAAACCCAATTTTCCTCTGAGTGGCTCTGTCTGAAGCTTATTTTGAGCCACAAAACATCGTAACATTTGGGTAGAATTGGGATTGTAACCAAAGTATGGGTGACTATTGGTGAGAGGCCAGCGTATAATTTTTCATGCCATAAACAGAATTCACAGAATTTTGCGCATCGATGAGCAGGTCAGCGATGGTTAAAGGTAAGGGGTCACAGCCCGTGTAGACCATTTATGGCGCCAGATCGTCCCTGTTTGAAGTGGTTGGCCGCCGTTGGCCAAAGAATGGGACACCTAGAATTGTTTGAACATGAACCACTTCGAATTGCTGGTTTCTTCATCATTTTCCAACATTTTTCCCAATGAACGTGGCCACAAAGTCGGGGATAAAACCAGGTGGCTCAGCAAGTGGATGCCGCGGTGGAACGTGCCAAGCAGATGCCGAAGGCATCGAAGAGAGTCCTTTTGGTCACTTTCCAAGCCCCCAGAAGATAAATATTTACTAGTTCATTTTTTGAAGATAGTTTTTAAAATAGTCAACATATATTTTTTAAATAGTAAGTCAATTTTCAATGCTATTTTAGTAGTGTTTTTCCCTTATTCAATTGCAGAGCTAGTCAACGGATGATTTTTTTGGGACATTGGGAACGATGGTTTTCCCCAAAAAACGATGGGGGTTGACGGTTGCTCACCGGCCTGGTTAAATTCCACATGGAATTTCAGTCACAGGAAGCTCCTTGAGAGTTGGCATCCCAGTCAGAACTACGCAATATATGTATGTATATATATATATACACAGTGTGTGTGTCTGTGTATGTATATACAGTATATATATATATAAATATTTGCAACCAGGTACACTGAAGAATCAACTGCGGCCTCTGCATCAAATTCAGACCTAAGTGGCATTGCTGGTTCCATGCGTATTGCGGGTCCACCACCGCTGCCTCATCAAGCTCCAATTAGCGCAAAAGATTTGCGTGTATATATATATAGACTATAGATGATATACAGAAATATACATCATATCTATAGATATGTCTATATATCTATATATCTATATATCTATATATCTATATATCTATATATCTATATCTATATATATATATATCTATATATCTATATATCTATCTATATATATATATATCTGTATATCTATATATTTTTATATCTATTATACGTCCATATTCATTAATCCACACAATCCACGCATCCATTTAAGTTTTGCATCCTGGACGTTTATCTGGGTCAAACAGCTGGGTATTTTAAGATGGGATGGTTTGCTGCGGCCTCAGTGCCCAGCCCATCAGTGGGGAAAGTCATCCTGGATTAGATAGAATATGGAAATTTATTTAAACTATCTCACTTCAAAGGTGGAATATCTTTGATTATGCCATATTCAATTTACTTCACTTGGATCTATCTATCTATATATATATATATTTATACATGTATATGTATACACTATGTATAGGTGCATGTTACAAATAGTATGTGATTAGATACCCTCCAGCCCTCCAGTCATCAAATGTGGCAATGGAAAAAAAGCCTCAACATTTTGAGTTCGTTGGATTTTCCCATGGATGTTCCCATCCAGGAGGCCGCAGAGAAGGCCGTGCAGCGCTTGCAGCAGCTACCGCAGGTGGCCCGTATTTGTTGATGAAATATCGATATCCCCAAGAATTAGTTCATGTGAAGAATTAGCTGATGTAAAATGTAGAAAAAAACACCCGATTTTGCATATCTTAGTTTACCGGAGGGTATATGATATATGATGATATGATAACATTGATGATGAAAGAATACGACCCCTATTTTTTTCGTAGTAACATTAATTTCAGGGTTGCTTCCACAGGAATCATGACCATGAGGGAGGACAATATTCATCGTCATGGTCATTTTTTGAGGATCCAAGGATCAGCAACGGGGATGTCAATCAATACACTTGGGGTACTCTAATTATTTGTAGACAAAGCCAACTGGGAAACATGTTACCTAATAACATGGGCTAGGGGTGGGAAATTCTGCGAAAGAGGTGGCAGATGGCAAAATAATAATCCCTTCTTCCTAATATTAAACACCCCCCAGAAACCATTAGTAGGAAATTTGCGCATTTCTGGGACCGTTTATGGGGTGTTTTATTTTAGGGTGATGGGATTACTTAATATTCATGGGGTAAAGATGGGATAATCAATGCTGAACTGTTCATTTTTCCCCAACAGCAGAAGCTTTGGGGTCTTCAGCCATAGTAAAGGTTTCGGAGCAGACCGGAGCAGCTCCAAAACCCATTCCCTCAAGGTTCCCAAGGTTCCCAGGGTTCCCAAGGTTCCCAAGGTTCCCAACATTCCCAAGGTTACCAAGGTTCCCAAGGTTCCCAAGGCTCCCAAAGTTCCCAAGGTTCCAAAGGTTCCGAAGGTTCCCAAGGTTCCCAAGGTTCCCAAGGTTCCCAAGGTTCCCAAGGTTCCCAAGGTTCCAAGGAAGAGGTTCCCAAGCAACGTTCCCAAGCAAGGTTCCCAAGAGGTTCCAAGCAAGGTTTTCAGGAGGAGGTTCCCAAGCAAGGTTCCCAAGAGGTTCCAAGAAAGGCTCAAAGGTTCCCAAGCAAGGGTTCCCAGCAAGAGCTTCCCAAGCAAGGGTCAGGAAGAGGTTCCCAAGCAAGGTTCCCAGGAAAAGGTTCCCAGGAACAAGGTTCCCAGGAACAAGTTCCCAAGCAAGGTTCCCAGGAACAGGTTTTGCAAGCACGGATTTCAGGAACCGTTTTCAAGGTTCCCAAGAACCGTTTCCCAAGCAAGTTTTCCAGGAACATGTTTTTCCAAGCAAAACAAAGGTTCTCAGAACAGGGTTTCAAGCAAGTGTTTCCAGGAAGAGGTTTCCAGGAAGAGGTTCCCAAGCAAGGTTCCCAGCAAGTTTCCCAAGCAAGATTTCCAGGAACATGTTTTTCCAAGCAAAACAAAGTTCCCAGGACAGGTTTTCAAGCAAGTATTTCCAGACGAGGTTTCAAGGAAGAGGTGTCAAAGCAAGGTTCCCAGCAAGCTGGTTCCCAAGCAAGGTTTTCAGGAAGAGGTTCCCAAGCAAGGTTCCCAGCCACAGGTTCCCAGGAACAGGTGCCCATACAAGGTTCCCAAGAACAGGTTCACAAGTAATTCCCAAGCACGTTCCCAAGCAAGGTTCCCAGCAACAAGTTCCAGGAACAGGTTCCCACACAAGTTTCCCAAGAACAGGTTCACAAGTAAGGCTGCCGGAAAAAGTTCCCAGGCAATGTTTCCAGGAAAAGGTTCCCAAGCAAGGTTCCCAGGAACAGCTTCTCAAGCAAGGTTGCTAGGAAGAGGTTCTGAAGCAAAGTTCCCAGGAAGAGGTTCGCAAGCAAGGGTTCCCAGTTGTTCCTGGAAATTTTGCTTGGGAACCAGCTCTTCCTGGGGACGCTTACTTGAGAACCTTTTCCTGCGAGCCTTGTTCCTGCTTGGAACCTTGCTTGGAAACGGTTCCTGGGACCTTGCTTGGGAACCGTTACCTGGTAACCGTACTTGCAATCGGTTCCTAAGAAATTAACCTTGCTTGGGTTCCTCAGCCACCCCAGGAACAAGATTTCCAATCACATTTTCCAGTTTTAGGTTCGCAAGCAAGGTTACCAGGAACGATTCCCAAGCCAGGTTCCCAAGAACAGGTTCCCAGGAAAGGTTCCCAAGCAAGGGTTCCAGAAACAGTTGCCAAGCAAGGGATCCAGAAACAGTTGCCAAGCAAGGTTCCCAGGCCAGGAACAGGTTCCCAAGCAAGGTTCCCAGAAACAGGTTTCCAAGAAAGGGTTGCAAAAAAGGTTTCCAAGAATAGGTTCGCAAGCAAGGGGTTTCCAGGCAATGTTCCTGGGAACAGGTTTCCAAGCAAGGTTCGCAAGACCAGGTTCCCAAGCAAGGTTCGCAAGAACAGGTTCGTTCCCAAGCAAGGTTCGCAAGAATAGGTTCACAAGCAAGGGTTCCAAGAACAGTGCCTCAAGTTCCCAAGCGAGGGTTCCAAGAACAGGTTTCCTTGCAGGGTAGCGGCAAGGTCCTTGGGAACAGGTTCCCAAGCAAGGTTTCCACGAACAGGTCCCCAAGCAAGGTTCCCCAAGGACAGGTTTGCAAGCAACCTTCGCAAGAACAGGTTCGCAAGCAAGGGTTCGAAGAACAGGTTCCCAAGAACAGGTTCGGGTTCCAAGAACAAATTCTCCAGGAAGGTTCCAAGAATAGGTTGCCAGCACGGTTCCCACGAACATGTTCCCAAGCATGGTTTCAGGTTGTTCATGTTCCCAGGAACAGCTTTTCAAGAACAACTTGCAAAGCAAAATTTCGAAGACCATCTGCAAGCAAGGTTGGAAGCAAGAATAGAATCCCAAGCCAGGTTCCGAAGGACAGGTTCCTAAACAAGGTTCCTAAGCAAAGTTACGAAAAACAGGTTCCCGAGCAAGGTCCCAATGAACAGGTTTGAAGCAAGCAGGCAAAGTTTCCAAGAACAGGTTTCCAAGAGAAAGTTCCCAAGAACAGGTTACCAGGCAATGCTCCCAAGAGCAGGTTCCTAAGAATAGGCTCCCAAGAACAGTTTCCCAAGCAAGGTTCCGATAAACAAGTGTCAAGCAACGTGTCCAGGAACAATTGCCCAGGCAAGGTTCCAAGAACATTGAACAACAGAACGCTGCAAAGTTTGAAGATTTGTTCTAATAACGGAACGGAGAGATTGAAGAACTAGTTTTGCTTCAAAAAATGATACGGCACTCGCACATGGATAAAACACTAGACGACAACGTGGCATGAAAGAAGGCAGTAGGGAGGAGACGAGAAGAAAAGGATGATGGTGATGATGATGACGACAATGATGATGGCGATGACGATGACGAGGATGAATGGCGATGGAGATGATGATGAATGATAGCTGACGCGAGTCATATCATATATCCACGGTTTCGCGCCTTTTTTGGCCCCACAGAGGGTTTGCTCCAGGGCTGGCACCTGAGTGACAGTCAGAATCCAAAGACATGTTGTTTTTACACAGCGAAAAGTTTACACAGAGAAGATGTTACACACAGAAGCCTTTACACAGAGAGGGATTTACACAGAGCAGCTTTTACACAGACGCTTTTGCACACAGACGCTTTTACACACAGAAGCTTTTGCACAGAAAAGCCTTTTCTAAAGAAGCCTTACCACATGAAGCCTTTACACAGAGCAGCTTTACACACAGACGCTTTTTCACAAAGAAGTTTTTACACACAGGAACTTTAACGCGCAGATGCCCAAGCTTTTACACACAGGAGCTTTTGCACACACACACACACGCCTTACAAAAAGAAGCTTTTAGACACAGAAACTTTTACAGCCTTTTCACAAGAAAGCTTTTACACAGAGATGCCTTTACAAACAGAAGCTTTTACACACAGAAGCTTTTACTCAGAGAAGCCTTTAAACAGAGCAGCTTTTACAGAAAGAGAAGCTTTTACACAGAGAAGATTTTGCACAGAGAAGCTTTTTCACAGACAAGTGTTTGCGGGAAGGAACTTTGAGCACAAACGGTTTTTAGATACAGCAGCTTTCACACAGAGAAGCTTTTGCGCGGACCAGCTTTTACACTCAGGTTTGTTTTCACAGAGCAGCGTTTACGCGGAGCAGCTTTTACACACCGAAGTTTTGACGCAGAGAGGCCTTTACACAGAGAAGCTTGTACACACAGAAGCTTTTACACACCGACGCCTTCGCGCACACACACACAGATGCCGGTACACAGAGCAGCTTTGACACGCAGACGCTTTTACACAGAGAAGCCGTTACATAGAGCAACTTTTACACAGCGCGGCTTTTACACGGAGACGCCTTTACACAAAGAAGCTTTTCTACACAAACGCTTTTACGCATAGAGGCCTTTACACACAGAAGCTTTTATGCACAAGGTTTTCACACGGAAGCTTTACACAGAGAAGCGTCTAAACAGAGCATCTTTAATACACAGAAGCATTTACACACACACACAAGCTTTACACACACGCCTTTGCACACAGAGCTTTTACACACAGACGCCTTTACGCATAGAAGCTTGTTCACAGAGCAGGGTTTACACAGAGCACAGAGAGAGGCCTTTGCACAGAGCAGCTTTTACAATCTTATACGCGCAGAAACTTTAAACACGCCCTTGTAAAATCGTAGTTTTACACAAGTTTATTTCGCGCAAAACGGTTGTGCCTGACGTTTCAAACTGGATAAAGTCGCAATTTTACACCAATTCTTGAACGTTGGCATCTGACGTTAAAAAACCGCAGTTTTCCCACAGTTATTGCCGTTTGACTTTCATGCCACGCTTGCATCTGAACTTTCAAAATCACAATTTTATACCAGTTTTTGACGGTTAACCCTCATTTCGTGCGAAGGGGCTGTGCCGGGCCTCACCAAATTTGCATTTTGCCACATGTTTGGATGTCCGACCTGCGCGATCTCTGAAGAGGGTTGCCCGTGCCCAAAAGAAATTCACATTCCACCACATGTTTGGGCGTTCGAAACGCACGATCTCCGCAGACGGCTGCTGCGGGCAAAGAAGTTTCGCATTTCACCACACCACATGTTTGCCCATCCGACACGCGCCATCTCCGCAGAGGGTTGCCCAAGGACAAACAAGACCCGCATTTCGCAACACGTTTGGGTGTCCGACACGCCGCAGAGGGTAACGATTCGTAAGCCACCGCCTGGCTGTCCCTGCCACCAGAGAGAAATAGAAGAACTGGATGATCTTGCAGGAGTTCAGATACAATTTGATCACCTGGAAGTTAGCTGAACCCCTGTGTAGCAACTCCAATTTCTGTGCAAAATGACCTTGCCGGCAGGAGTCTTGTAGGAGTTCAAGTAGAAATGGATCACCTGCAAGTCAACTCCTGTGTAAATGACATTGTTCAAGTTTTGTAGGAGTTCCCTAGAAGTTGATCACCTATAGCTGATGTAGGTGATGTTGTCTATGTTGTAGATGATGAGGATGATGTTGTAAGTGATGTAAGGTTAGATAGATTTGAAGATGTAGGTGATGTATAGGATGCAGTGATATAGATGATGATGTAGGTTATGTATGCGTTGTAGGTGATGTATATCATGTAGATGAGGTTGATGGAAAAAGATCGTGTAGTGATGTAGATGGTGTAGGTGAGATAGATGATGGTGATGATGATGGTGGTGGTGGTGATGGTGATGATAATCATGATGATCTAGGGAAGATGGTGCAGAAGATGTAGTAGGTGATGTGGGTGATGTAGAGGATGTAGTGATGTAGGTGATGATGTAGGTAATGTATGTATTGTAGATAAAGCATGTCATATAGATGAGGTTGATGGAAAATGTGTAGGTGGTGTAGATAATGTAGGTGAGACAGATGTAGGTGATGATGATGATGATGATGATGATCGTGATAGTGATGATGATGGTGTAGATGTAGATGTAGATCTAGAGAAGATGGTGTAGAAGACGGTATAGAAGATGTAGGTGATGTAAAGGACATAAGAGATGTGGATGATGTATGTTAGGTAGATGAAGTGAAGAGTGAGGCAGACAGCAGTTCTTTGGGAAAAAGCCTTCGCACGAGCTTCGGGAATTTTGGCTTTTGGAAAAGCGGTTTTTCATAAAGTGTTTGTGCTGTGATTGCGCCTTGTACGCCCGACCTCTAGAGTAAGAAGGGCGGGGCAATAAACATACTTCACTCATTGGGTGTTTTGCAACTGTTTTTGTTTCTGGCTGTTGGGGATACTCTTTGGGCTTATTTTTCGGATTTCTCTCAAAATGGGAGGATGTGCCAAGACACTACCATTACGAAAAAGGGAGATTAATTTACGGGATATTTTGGCGAACTTGATGTTGCAGTTTGCTTAACGTTTTGAGACTGTGGCACACAATTCTTTTTCGCATGGTCCTATCGAGATGCATATTTGATTAAGATATTGCACGATTCAGTTTTTCGTACAGTTGGAGTTTCTTATTGTTGTGTCCCATGGAATTTTCATGTGGTTACCCCGCTGAAAGACCTCAAACATGGTTGATTGAACAAACCAGAACATGGTAAAAATCGCTCTGGTTTAGCATCACAAATGGTACTGTAAATCATAATCATACATCATAATTTGCCAAAAAGAGAGGGCGGTTTTTTAGATTCCACGAGAGGGGCAGTGCTCAGTCGCCCGGCAGGAAGCCTTGGATAGCCTGACCGGTGCTGCGAAGGCCACAGCAAAGGTTCGACGTTTGGTTCGGATTGGTAAGGGAAACATATACAATAACCATAACCATAAACCATAAACCATAACCATAAAACACCATGGTTATTCTCCCATAAACATGTGGTGTTTGTGTTTTTCTCCCATATGATCCCCACATTTTTTGGGCTGAAATGTGCTCCCAAGGCGCAAGCCAGCAGCGCCCGGGAGCTCGAGTTAAGCAACTCTCCGAAGATCCAGTGTTTTTTTTTGGTATACCGAAATTTACATCCCATAGTTATCATAGTCTCATAATTATCATAATAGTCTCATAAATAAATTCGAAATTAATAGCCATAATATTCATCAATAGTGACTCATAGTTTATTAATATTTATTAATAATAGTCCATAATGATTCATAGTCCACATTTGCACCGAAATTCACATCCCATGATTATTATAATATATCATAATATATCATAATAGTCATTAATAGTCTCATAATCATAATGATTAAACAATTTGGGGGGATATGGATGGATATGGTGAAGAATACTGTAAAGCCGCATTGTTCGGGGCGGTGAAAGTTTATGATTGGGTATATCAAATTAATAGAATTTCTTTTTATTGTGGCTATGAAAACATCTAGCATACCAACCCTGGGATGCAGATCCTCTGAGCATCCTTGGTGACTGGTGGAATTCCATCAAATACCTCGGAACGGAATCCGAATTCAGCAGGGTTTAGGTCACAGCTTCAGTCGTCGATTCTGAAGATTCTGACTTCCAGCAAGTGTTTTTTCGAGAACATGGGTGTCATGCCACCGGTCATTTTCATGTCTGAAGCGCGCTATGGAGGCCATCCCCCAGATGTCATTTGTCATGGATCCAATGAACTTACATACAAAGCCAGGATTTCTAAGGTAAGTTACACTTGATAATCCCATATTAAGAATCCCTTCATCATATTTAATTTTGGTTGAGTATTGGATCTATTCACTTTTGGGCCCCAAATAGTGCGAGGGCTATACATACCCATTTCAAGATGTTGAAACCATGTTAAAGCATCATTTTTGATCATTTTTTGACGGTTAAATCCCAACAACCAATACGATGCTTTGGCTATATATCCCCACTTAAAGATGGTAAAACCATGTAAAACCTGAGTTCCTGAGTTTTGCTGGTTCATATTCTTATTTTTACAATGGTTAAAACCTGTTAGATGCCTAAATCATCATTCTTCTGGTTTTAATCCCAGTTTTTGCTGCTTAAATGCACATTTTTGTTGGTTAAATCCACCATTTCTGAAGGGATCAGCATTTGAGCACCGAAAACTCTACGGCCAAGGCGCAGCGCTCAGCAGAGGAGGGTCTGGACTCAGCAAGGGGAGCTCAGGAAGGGGATGGGTTCAGGATGATTTACAATGGAAAATCCTATTAAAATGGGTAATTTTTTGGGGTAGCTTTATGATTTTTTTTGGAACCCCCCTTATTGCAGTGAAATTGGGTTATGAATATAGCGACTATGATTATAGATGTTGGATTGCAGCTGCAATATCTATTCGACATTGGGATTATGAATAAGATAGTGTGTTCATTCATTTATTTGTTGATCTTCTCAGAAAAGTGGGATGAATTCTTGGTGTGGTGTCCACTATATCATATTCAGTGTCTTTATTCCATTTGTCCTTTATATACATGTATGTATATATATATATATATTCATGTTTTATTCCAAACAACACTGATTTTAATATTTAGTGTTTATATATATATATATTTCTTGTCTAATTTTTTTCCTAGAAAACTGGAGTTCATGCTTAATGGGAACACTCGACCGACCGACAGCTGAAACGGCTGAAACTGTCAGAGTCTCCATCCTGATTTCATCAGTGGATGGGTACTGAGGCAGTGAAAGGGATACAGGTGCGGGTGAGTCGAAGATGATCCGATGACGGAACATTGAGGGGGTCTGTCCGAAAATGGGGATACCCCAAAACTGGAGATTTTGTGAGGAACATCAGATTTGAATTTTGGGGCACCTGATTTTGAGATGTTGCCCTCCGGTAATCTAACATGGCTAGCGCTGGGAAATCCATAAATGGAGATTTCGTTGGCGAAAATCCTCGTTTACGAAGCGGGTGATCTTCGGGCGGGGGTTCGCTTCGGGCGTAAATTTTGGCTCGCTTCGGGCGTAAATTTGGTCTCGCTCCGGGCGTAATTTTGGTCTCGCTTCGGGCTTAAAGTTGTTCCACAGGCACTGTGGCAGGCGCAGCCCAAGAGCGAGCAAGTAATACCAGGTGCCAAAGGGCAAGTCAGCATATAGCGTCTCGTTCACTTCATGCTGTGATGCCTTAACGTTTCGTTCTGGCGTATCTAAAAGTAACTGTGCTCCTCGTGTCTGATTACTTGAGCTGATATAAGGCGCATGTAAATGCAACTCAGCTGGGTCTGCTTGGGTGCCCGGATGTTATGTTTCGTTCACTTAGTACGGCGCATGTCTGTCTGCGGTCGGGTGCCTGGTATGTATGTTCGCGCGGTGACGAATGATGTTGCGCTTGTGGGGTATGACAATGCAATAGCATATGTCAGTCTGAATGGTAATTGGAATGTCAGATAGAATGCCACAATGTTCTATGTCAGATGGGGTGTCCACGGTGGGGATTACTCGAAGACAGCAGTTTCAGTCGTCAATTTTGTAATGTGCTGGGCGTGTATCCTTCACTTCATGGTATGCTACTGGGTGCCTGGGTGGGGTAGTATATGTAAGATAGCAATGTATGTCAATAGCTCAGGAACGTCTTGCAAGTTACTGACAAGTAGGAAGATGTTGCAACGTATCAGGAACGTCTGCCAAGTTATTTGACGAAGAGGTTACAACATACCAGGAACATCATTCAATTTACTTGAACAATATGTGATAAGTGTTAACGTGCCAGGACCGTCTTGCAAGGTACTTGCAGAAGATTTTTACAACGTCTAAGGAAGGTGTTGCAAGTCACTTGAAGAAGGTGTGTCAACGTATCAGGAACATCTGACAAATCACTGCAAGAAGAGTTAACAACGTATCAGGAACGTCTTGCAAGTTACTTACAAGTAAAGAAAAACAAGATATATCGATGTATTTGAACATGGCCTCAAGAGGCTTGTGCATGTGCATTAGAGATACTCCTAAAGAACATTGTCATTGAATCACAGGCTGAGCATGCATTTCCTGTTGGCTGAGCATGCATTTCTTGTTGAATCAGACCGCATGTCCCAGCCCCGAGTCCCCAAGTGTTATTCTAAAGGTCTCATTCCAGGATGCTGCTCCCCTAAACCCACCCCATGTCCCAGGTCTCATTCCAGGATGCTGCTCCCCTAAACCCACCCCATGTCCCAGCCCCGTAACCCCATGTCCCCTCAACCCACCCCATGTCCTCTTCTTACATCAACTGCAACAACATATAAACCCTAAAGGGGTCGTGGCCCTTCTTACATTAAAAGCAACAACATATAAACCCTAAAGGTGTCGTGGCCCTTCTTACATTAAGTGCAACAACATATAAACCCTAAAGGTGTCGTGACCCTTCTTACATTAAGTGCAACAACATATAAACCCTAAAGGTGTCGGGGCTCTTCTTACATTGAGTGCAACAAGATATAAACCCTAAAGGTTTCGTGGCTCTTCTTAGATTAAGTGCAACAACGTAAAAACCCCAAAGGTGTCGTGGCCCTATTTAGATTAAGTGCAACAACATATAAACCCTAAAGGTGTCGTGGCCCTTCTTACATTAAGTGCAACAACATATACACCCTAAAGGGGTCGTGGCTCTTCTTACATTACGTGCAACAACATATAAACCCTAAAGGTGTCGTGGCTCTTCTTACATTAAGTGCAACAACATATAAATCCTAAAGGTGTCGTGGCCCTTCTTAGATTAAGTGCAACAACATATAAACCCTAAAGGGGTCGTGGCCCTTCTTACATTAAGTGCAACAACATATAAACCCTAAAGGTGTCGTGGCTCTTCTTACATTGAGTGCAACAACATATAAACCCTAAAGGTGTCAAGGCTCTTCTTACATTGAGTGCAACAACATATAAACCCTAAAGGGGTCGTGGCCCTTCTTACATTAAAAGCAACAACATATAAACCCTAAAGGTGTCGTGGCCCTTCTTACATTAAGTGCAACAACATATAAACCCTAAAGGTGTCGTGGCCCTTCTTACATTAAGTGCAACAACATATAAACCCTAAAGGTGTCGGGGCTCTTCTTACATTGAGTGCAACAAGATATAAACCCTAAAGGTTTCGTGGCTCTTCTTAGATTAAGTGCAACAACGTAAAAACCCTAAAGGTGTCGTGGCCCTATTTAGATTAAGTGCAACAACATATAAACCCTAAAGGTGTCGTGGCCCTTCTTACATTAAGTGCAACAACATATACACCCTAAAGGGGTCGTGGCTCTTCTTACATTACGTGCAACAACATATAAACCCTAAAGGTGTCGTGGCTCTTCTTACATTAAGTGCAACAACATATAAACCCTAAAGGTGTCGTGGCTCTTCTTACATTGAGTGCAGCAACAAATAAACCCTAAAGGTGTCGTGGCTCTTCTTTTATTGAGTGCAGCAACAAATAAACCCTAAAGGTGTCGTGGCCCTTCTAAGATTAAATGCGACAACTTATAAATCCTAAAAGGTGTCGGCGCTCTTCTTACATTGAGTGCAACAAGATATAAACCCTAAAGGTTTCGTGCCTCTTCTAAGATTAATTGCAACAACATATATACCCTAAAGGTGTCGTGGCCCTTCTTACATTAAGTGCAGCAACATACAAACCCTAAAGGTGTCGTGGCTCTTCTTACAATGAGTGCAACAACATATAAACCCTAAAGGTGTCGTGGCCCTTCTAAGATTAAGCGCAACAACATATATACCCTAGAAGGGTCGTGGCTCTTCTAAGATTAAGTGCAACAACATATAAATCCTAAAGGTGTCGTGGCCCTTCTTAGATTAAGTGCAACAACATATAAACCCTAAAGGGGTCGTGGCCCTTCTTACATTAAGTGCAACAACATATAAACCCTAAAGGTGTCGTGGCTCTTCTTACATTGAGTGCAACAACATATAAACCCTAAAGGTGTCGTGGCTCTTTTTACATTAAGTGCAACAACATATAAACCCTAAAGGTGTCGTGGCTCTTCTTACATTGAGTGCAACAACATATAAACCCTAAAGGTGTCGTGGCCCTTCTTACATCAACTGCAACAACATATAAACCCTAAAGGTGTCGTGGCCCCTCTTACATTAAGTGCAACAACATATAAACCCTAAAGGTGTCGTGGCTCTTCTTACATTGAGTGCAACAACATATAAACCCTAAAGATGTCGTGGCTCTTCTAAGATCAAGTGCAACAACATATAAACCCTAAAGGTGTCGTGGCTCTTTTTAGATGAAGTGCAACAACATAGAAACCCTAAAGGTGTCGAGCCCTTTTTTGCTGAAAGTGAGTGCATTTATGCCTGAAGTGAGCCCGGATATGCCTGAAGTGAGCCCAGATATGCCCTAAGTGAGCCCAGATATGCCCTAAGTGAGCCACATATGCCCAAAGTGAGCCCATTTTATGCCCAAAGTGAACCTCGAAAATTTATGCCCTAAGTGAGCCCGAATTTATGCCCAAAGTGAGCCCCTCGCCTACTACCAGCAAACCATGTTTTTTCATACTTGTATCCCATCATTAGTATTCCATGAATAGTCCCATTAATAAATCACTCTAAAATCCCATGACTAGTCCCATATTTTACCTGTATTCTGGATGTGTTCCTTCGATCTGAAGCGGGGAGGCTGTTCCTGTGAAGCTGCTTGAAGCCATTCAGGGCGCAACTGTGGGTGTGGTCACAGGCATCACAGGTGCGTCATACGCTGAGACACCGGATGTAAGATATAAAGCCACGGTGAGATGTGGGTTTAGCAGGGATTTCAACACACAAGATGGGAATTGAACTACATCCCAAGCATTGGAATTGCACCCATGTATGCTCATATCAGAGGGGAGATACTGCATAGGGATATACTCAAAAAGCTGCTGAATGGTGTGCTGGGTCGGAGTAGGGTAGTAGGAGTCCTTGAAAGAGAGGAATTAGGATCGCTATTTGGGTCCGACATGCCAGTTCCTCAGCTATTCAGTTTGATTGCCTATAAATCAACAATTCAGTTCGATGATTTTACAATTTGAAGTCCCACTTATATAGTTGGGGATTACCCAGCTAGCCATGTTTGATTGCTGGAGATCGCTCTCCTTTAACGTCTGACTGGGTACCTGAGAAAAGAGGTTTCGCACTTGAGATGGCCCAAATGATTTGGGACACGACAGCCTAACTCCCAACAAAGCAACCACAAAATCATTCGAAATGAAACAAAAACTCCGTTTTGCATAGGGAAATCCATGTGGAGTTTTGGATCTTTGTGAGGACAACAGTCCGGGAATCTTCAGAAGTAGCAAAAAAGTGGTAAAAAACAATTCAAGTTACCTAAGTGTTGACTCATAGATGATTCTTCTATCAGACTGATTTCCCATATCCTCTACAAACCTCATGTTGAAGTGTCCATTTATAGACGATCCAATTTCGCGACACCGTCTCCGGTCGTTTTGACACTGCGTTCAGGTGCGATCCAACGTCGCTTCGATGAGATCCTTCAGGACCCAGAGACCTGGTTCCAGCCATGTGACTGATGACGAGGGTATCTTCAATATCTTCAATATCTCCATGAAATCTCCATCTTCTGTTTTGCCAGTGGGAATAAAATTAGGAGAGTTATATCAGTTAATATCCCCAACCATCCCAGCCCTAGTTCTTCGACTTAGCACCAACGAATCGCCAACGAATCGCCAGGCCATTGTGGATACCCCGAAGGTTGCTCAGCGAGAGGCGGATTTTTTCTGTGAAAAAACACCATGGTCGAATCACTGGATGAAATTGGGGTAACCCCATGACTTAGGAAGCCCCCCAAAAACATATATATATATATATTATATATATATATGATCATATATGTATGTATAGACTGTATAGATGTGTGTTTATACATATATGGAGTATAATTAACAATGTATTCACGTCCACATATATATATATATTATATTTCTAAGATTGCATGGCGCGAAGAATTTAAACCTTTCAGCCAAGAAAATCGGAAACAAACCACTGCATCCTGCTGAGTCAGGTGGCTGAGGGCATCAAGAAGATCCCCGGGACCGTCCAGCAAGGGGTCAACAAGGCACCAGGGAGAAGCAACTTCAAAGCTCTTCAAGAGTTAACATCTTCATTCCCAAAATGTGGCCCAACTATGGTGCCCTATTGGATACTTTTCCGAAACATCTTCATTTCAAGAAATGCAGTCAGACACCTCGAATTCTTTTGGAGATTCCAACATACCCCCAGAAAGATGGAAACATCATTTCGGGTCACTAAGGTCAACCTCGGCTGTCTTTTTTTTGGGGGTAAAATTTAAGTATGGGATGATCACTATTTGGAGGGTAGCCTCATGAAACTGAATATGAATAAACCATGGTTTAGTCTCCGCGGTTGACATTATTCTATCTTCTTGGGAGCTCCCAAAAAAAACAACATTTTCTGTCACTTAGCTGACTGCCAAGGCCGTGGCCCAGCCGATTCAAGAGTCTGTGGCCAAGGCACCAACTGGATCTCAAAATCTGAGTTTCGAGCTGGTTAACGTTTCGGGATGATCTTTTTTCACTGCAGATTTTGCAGCTGATTTGATGATCATTTCGTGATGCAGGCCCAAGATCAGTTGGAGCAAAAGATCCAGACGGTTTCTTGGCAAAATCGAGGTGGTTGGATATTAAAATATCTAACTCACTGGATGATCCCTATAGGGAAGCCATTGGTATGTCATCATTATTTTTAACACCCCAAAAAATTGAAGGGTTTCTGATAGTGAAGGTGAATAGGAGGCCGGGTCCCAAAGTGTGACGGTTCAGACGAGAAGATGCCCAGTGGACTCATGTTAGTCAAGCAGAATCCAAAAAAGGCGCGTTTACATTGGGGCATTGCAGTAGAAATCACCCAAATCAATAGTGAGAATGATGATTTTCACAAGTGGATTCAGGGGTTTCCCCCCCTTTTTTGGGAACAGCTTCATGCGTCGTGCGAAAACGCTGCTTTGGTCTGCTCCCGCAGCCAGAGACCGACCCTTTGTACGCCTTCCCGCGACCTTTCTCCGCATTTTTTCACCGTCATGGCCCTCTCTCAGCAAGAGAAGAACGTCCGATTGGAGGTGGGTTTGATCCATGGCCATATCTCATGGGGACATCTGGGCTGAAGCACGCGCCGATCCCAACTTTTTTTTTACTCATTGGGGGTTCTAAACATGTTTAGTAACCCCAAAAAAGATGCAGAGTAAACTTCAAAAAATAGTGACTTCTTTTTTTTGGGTATAGTCGGTATAGTTAATTTATAAATATGATAAAGCCATGGACATCACAGCGTGGTCATAGGCCGAGAGCTGGCAAGACAAGATGAAGGCGGGGCTGAACCACTCCCTCGCCATCGTACAGGTTCGACCTGGGAGGTTTCGTTGCCCGGTGAGCCATGAACAAAACACCATTGTTGGTTCTAGTTTCAGGGGGTTGTACATGGTTGTACTACCTAACTTACCTAACTAGCTAATTTATTGGGGATTACTGACAACCCACATTAGCTAAGTTTATATAATGTTGTTTGAGTGGGATTTGAAGGGCATTCAGCCATGTTTTTGTTGCCTTTTTGTTTAACCGAAGATACACATGGGCATATGATTGACAAATTACGATAAATTACGAATGACTGGTTATGACATAATTATACAAACTATACTATGCCTTGCCATGCCATCAATACCATTGTTTAACGGGAACTTAACCATGAGAGGTCTTATGGGGTTTTAAGTATCAAACATGCAGGGATATGATTGATAAATGATGGTTGATGGGTTATGAAATAGGGGGTTTGCAACCTTCATAATTTATGGGGAATTCTGATATATAAGCCACAATAAACGGGAGACCGTTCTTAACCACCAGTATTGCATTGGATGGGGGCATTCTTCATGGCTTAATCAGGTATCCAATACCTGTGACAAAAAAGACTTCTTGATCCTGTTTCGCGGGTTGAAGCTCCTTCTTCCACCATTTTTCTGGATATATATATATATACATGAATGAACGACCCCGGAAGTAAAGACGAATAGGTTGATCATCCCCTTTTTTCGGTAGTTTCGGCTTCAGCTCATGAGTGGTTGCAGATTGTGCAACTGCCCCTTTCCTGGAGTGGACGGAGTCTGCGCTTTGTGCCGGTGTGTCTCCCGGCTGGTGGGGGAGTTCAGAGCACTTCAGCCTGTACTGCGATCCTGGGGGGTCAGCCAGGCCAGGCAGTGGACTTCCCTGCTCCAAGAAGAGCAAGCTCAACAGCGGGCCAGGGACAGGCTTTGTGCTCCTGTGGGCCCTCCTACTACGGGAGGGTTACCAGTGCCTCCCCCACCTCCTCCTCGTACGGAGGGCATTGCGGTGAAGAGGGAGGCGGCGGCGAGCGCACCAAGCGCCCCAGCCGAGGTTGCTGAGGCACCTTCCTCGAGCGCCCGGGGAGCTAGAGAGGAGGCTGAGAGATCCAGATCGCGTCAAAAGCCCAAGAAAGAAAAGAAGAAGGAGAAAGCTGAGGGAAAGAGGAGTAAAGCCCGAGATAGTAAGACAGAGAGAGGAGAAAGCCCAGGAAGAAAAGAAAGGAAAGAACGTCCGAGAAGCAAAAATAGGTCAGGAGAAGAGTCTGCACGTGGAAGCAGAGAAGCTTTCATTGACAAGAGGCCCGTCAGCAGGGCAAGGAGTCCGAGACTGGAAGATAGAGACAGGGGCAGAGGCAGACCCCGAGAACCAGAGCATCCTCCTAGAAGGTGGGAGGGTCCTATCTTGACGGTGAGGCGTCCGATCGGAGAAGCGGAGCCCAGGGCCGATCCCCAGCGTAAGAGGGCGCTCAACAAAGGCAGAAAGAAGCGAGAGAGGCAGCGGGCTTGGCGAGAGGACCGAGCTCAAGGTTAATGGCATTGAGGAGGCCAGCGGCGGCAGGGCCAGCTGGTAGACGGGCTCCTAGGGTGGGAGCAGCTCTGCGTAGACCGGCGAGTCGAGGCGCAGGTGAGCAGAGTCAGAAGGGCGAAGCAGAAGAAAAGTTTGTGAACGGAGAAGAGGTGGAAGCCAATTTGGCTCCTTTGGGAAGATTGGTGCAAGGTACTCCTGTCGTCGTCGTTGGGGAGTACCGACAAGAAGGATGTCGTCTTTGCGGCACAGTGCAGGGCCTCCAAGTGCGCCACGTGGGCGATGTAGAGTTGCAACTGACAGGGGAGGGGACGGAAAGCGAGTCCCTCCTGAAGTGGATCACCGGGCACCCCACGGTGCCAGTGCGGGTCCATCTGTGCGGCTCAACTTGCCCCAACAAGGTGGACGCAGAAGGTCTAGTACACGCCACAAAAATCCGACAGAAACAGAGGAGCGACGAGGGAGGCTGGTCAGAGAACCTGCGAGAAGGAAGAGACGAGAATGCAGAGCTGAGGAGAGAAGCAATGGCATTGCAAGAGAAGGAAGCGAAGGAGAAAGAGAGAGCAGACCAGAAAAGAGACGACAAGAAAACAAAGAAAAAGAAAAAGGAGAAGAAGAAAAGATCCTCAAGCACCGGAGGATCCAGCCGAAAGAAGGTGAGATCGAGCAGAAAGAGGGTCAACTCACGAAAGGAGCTGAAGGATGTCTTCGGGTCAACTGGCCTGGACCCCAATTACAAAGTGAGGAGGAAACTGGTGAAAGCATTGAAGAAGAAGTTGAAGAGGAAGAAGGAGGAGAGCACCAGCGGCGATTCAAGCTCCATCGATGGGAGCGGGGAGAGCAGCGACCAGGGCAGCTCCGAGGACGAGGGGATCTTCGGGGACACCCACAAAGTGCGGGTGGTGGCCCGCCGAGCTCCAGGAGTTCTAGCGGAGAGCACTATCAGGGAGATGCAGAGTCAACTCCTGACGGCAGCAGGCACAGTTTGGGACCAGGAGAAAGGGGAGGTGCCTGCGGTGGCGCTGCAATATTACCGCAACCATCTGGCCCCCCTCCTTTCAGGGGGGGCCAGCCGAGAAGCTCTGACCTTGTGCTGGAGCTTAGACCTGGCGCTTCAGGGGAAAGTTGCCAACACGGTCGACTGCTTGGCGCAGAGGCTGAAGAGTTTGCAGCTGACAGCCAATGGAGGGAGTTGGCGAGTCAGTCAAAGGGTCGAAGTGGTCCCGCCAGAACGGGGACAACTGACAAGCCGCGCAGAAACACAGGCCGCGGCCAAGGAGGACAAGGAGGAGCAGAAGACGAGAGCGTTAGCAAAAGGAAAAGAAAAGGGAAAGAGCGAGAGTTCAGGGGCAGGGGCCCCGTGGCGATACGGGCAAAAGGGCGAGACAAAAGGGCGCGACAAAGGGAAAGGCAAGAGGAGCGAAAAAGAGGAAGGAAAGAAGAGCTCCTAGATTTGGGAGCTGAGGCTGAAGACGAATATGAGGGCCCCCTCCTAGGTTTGGGAGGAGAGCCACAAAGAAGCTATGAAGAGGTGCGAGGAGCCCCCTGTGGCCTTAGTTTAAACCAGGGGAAGACTGCCCACGGCCGGGACACTGTCCTTGGACAGGACCGGGCCAGGTGCAGTACGGGAGTGCGCGAAGATCGCCCTCCTGACAGCCCTGAATGTGGACCCTGGGTGCGTGGACACGGTTCTGTGTGGAAACCGCCTATAGGTCTTATGGGGCATGGCGCCGGAGAGAGGTCAGATGGCGCAGGCGTTTTTCCACAGTTTCATGTTTCACCTAGTGGCGAAGCTCCGGACAGCCAGTTCGCTGGTAGTCCCTCGGCGTCATCCAACCGATGCTTAGGTGACTTTGCAGATAGTCACTTGGACGATGCCCCGCAGACCTTCGATCGCAGTGGTGAGAAAAAGAAGATGAAGGATCCGAGTGAAGTCAGGGAGTGTGGTCGAGTTGAGAAACTTGTTGGTTTACCCTGGGGTTCCTGTTTGCCCTTAGTTCAGTCACTGCTGATTAAATCTTCTTCAAAATTGAAAAAGAAGCACAGCGAGGCCAAGCCCACGGGTGACGTATTCCCGTTACCCACCAGCACTGACATTTTAAGGGGGCAGGAACGTCTGGCCAGGGTTGATGTGGTTATGCTGCGGTCTCTTTGCTTGGGTCTCAATAGTTACGCGGGAGTTGACTTAGAGTCAGGGGCCAGAGTAACTCCTTTGCAGCTTGAGTTCCTGGAAGGGCTGTGCGGAGATTTAGCAGAGGTTTCAACATGGGAAGAGACGTTTAGCTTGTCTACTTGGGAATCCTTTTTTAGTAGTCGCAGTGTAGACTATGTTGGTGATGAAGTGTCGGTGGCAAAAACTACTTCTTGGTCCAACCTTAGTCCAGCTATACCTGCAGAAGTAGGAGGGGTGGAGCTGTCTTCGGTATTGGAAGGGGGTTGCAGACACTACGTCACACATTTCGAGGACTACCTAGTCCCTCCTGAATCCATGGAATACACCAAGCCTCCGAGGGTCATGGTAGCTGATGACCAATGGGAGGGCGTCTGTCGAGGTCTCCTGTCATCGGGTATCTGTGGCCTTCTCCCGGAGAGCGAGTTGTTCCATGTGAAGGGGAGGCCTCTCCTAAATGGCCTCTTCGGAGTGCCCAAGGGAGACAGAGCAGGAGGGATAGAGTTGCATAGGCTAATCATGAATTTGATTCCTCTGAACAACATTTGCCGGCCAATCCAAGGAGACGTATCAACGTTGCCAGCATGGTCCTCAGCTGGGCCGTTAATGTTGATGCCCACTCAACAGTTGCTCATTGGGTTCAGAAGATGTGAGGTGTTTCTTCTACATTTTTAAAGTTCCCGCTGCATGGCAAAAGTTTCTCGGTTTCAACAAGGCTGTACCGACCCATCTGCATCCGGGGCAGACCGAGCGCCATTTTTTGGTGTCTCGAGTCTTGCCCATGGGGTTCAGGAATTCAGTCAGTCTGGCACAGGCAGTCCACCGTTCCGTGGTGAGAAGTGCCAAGGGGAGGACGAGCAATCGCCTCCTGGATTGCCAAGAGCTGAGGAAGGATCGTCCTTTCCCCAACACTGATCTGATGCATCGAATATATTTGGACAACTTTGATGAGTTGGAACGCATGGACGGGAGTTTGGCAGCGCTCCTGAAAGGTTCTCCAAGCCCCTCTATTCTAGCCCTTAGAGCTGAGTATGAGGCTTGGGGTATTCCTAGGCATCCCAAAAAGGCCGTGCAACGTTCCTTGAGGGCCGAGGTACAAGGGGCTATGGTGGATGGTGACAAGGGGTGTGCATACCCCAAACCTGACAAGATCCTAAAGTATACTCAACTGGCGCTACTCATGCTAGACCAAGGGAAGTGTAGTCAAAAACAGATGCAGGTAGTGGCTGGGGGCCTCGTGTACATTGCCACTTTCCGTAGGGCCCTAATGGGTGGCCTGAATCACATCTGGGCGTTTATCGAAGAATTTAACAAATACCCACCGGTGATACGCCTGGAGATCCCCTACTTGGTGGAACTGGAGATCAGTCGGTTTATCGCACTACTGCCGTTGGCACGTATCAACTTCCGAGCGCTACCCAACCCCCAAGTGACTGCAAGTGATGCCTCCACGACTGGGGGAGGTGTCACTGTCAGCAGGGGACTGACAAATCTGGGTCGGATAGCCACCTTGTGCCCCTCGAGGGGAGACGTCCCTGAACTTGGTGAGATGACCCAAGTACTCACTATAGGTCTCTTTGACGGGATCGGGGCTCTCAGAGTGGCAGCAGATGCTGCTGGTCTGCCAATGGCTGGACATGTTAGTGTGGAGATGGATGCCTCAGCCTCCAGGGTTTTGGAATCCAAGTTTCCGGCCACTCAATTTGTCTCAAATGTGGAAAGTGTTGACTTGGACATGGTGCGACAATGGGCATGCCAATTTTCCCAGGTCGGGTTAGTGATCTTGGGTGCAGGGCCTCCTTGCCAAGGAGTCAGCGGATTAAACGCTGATCGTAGGGGAGCGCTTAAGGACTACCGTAGCAAGTTGTACGTACATGTGGCCCGAATCCGTGATCTTGTGCGGGTGGCTTTTCCTTGGGCACAAGTGCACTCCCTTGCTGAGTCAGTACAATCAATGGATGTCGAGGATCGGATGGTTATGAGTGAGTCCTTTGGAACCCAAAGCTGGGCGATTGATGCCAGCGGGGTCAGCCTGGCCAGGCGACCAAGGCTGTACTGGATCACGTGGGCGTTGCAGACAGGGGAGGGTGTGACCATCGAGATCCCTCCTGATGACAAATGGGAGTCCATGGGAAAGGTGAAGCTGGAAGGTAAGGTGGAATCTGACAAGTACCTAGTGCCAGGTTGGAGAAGGCTAGGTGAGCAACCTCTCCCCACGTTTACCACCTCACGGCCACGACAGCATCCAGGGAGAAGGCCAGCGGGGCTGGACATGTTGACGGCGGCAGAAAAAACACAGTGGGAGGAGGACAAGTTCAGGTTCCCTCCTTACCAATACCAGACCTGCCATCAGGTCGGGAGAGGGGATGTGCACCGCTTGGTCAATGCCGAAGAGCGCGAGGTGATTCTTGGCTTTCCCAGGCATTACACAGTCAACTGCCTGCCTAAGTCCAAGCAAGGTTCTACGGAGCACCAAGACCTCAGGTTGACGCTGCTGGGCAACTCCTGGAACGTCACTGTGATCACATGGCTCCTCAGTCAATTGGGAGCGTGGCTGGGAGTAAGTCCTCAGCTGACGGTCCAGCACTGCATCGAACGGACGTCGCCAGGAGCCAACACGGATTTTGCCACTTTCCTTACCAGACAGCCGATGAACGGGCCGAGGAAAGCTCTCATTCAGGGAGGTAGCGATCTCCTCGTTAAGAAACTGCTCAACTTGGTCAGTATCAAAGGAGAGGACATACTGGTGAATTCTGCTTCAGAAGAAACACTGAAGTATCACAGACTCAGAGCCAGTATTCCTGCAAATTTGTGGAAGTGGTCCACAGTGTGCGGATGGAAATGGAGAGGCCATAAGGAGCACATCAATGTGCTGGAACTAAGGGCCGTGCTATGTGCCATGCGTTATCGTACCACCAAGCAACGAGTCAGAGACCAGAGGATCATACATCTAACTGACTCACTAGTGTGTCTCCATACCCTCACTAGGGGCCGCACCAGCAGCAAGAAACTGCGAAGAACCCTAGCACGTATCAATGCCTTACTCCTCCTCACCTGAAACACGGCAGTGTGGACATATGTTCACACTGCCCTGAACCCTGCTGATGCCCCTTCAAGGGGGCGTATCAAACGGAAATGGGGAAGAAAGTAAAGCAACATGTGGAAGGGAGGAGTAAGGCAGAGCGGAAAACAATACGTGCCAACCTGGGTCCCCTTAAGGGGTTGACAGTGCAGCCCAAAACGAAAGATCGCTACAACAAAGCTGTCCAAAAGTTCCTGAGCTGGACCAACAATCATGGAGTTACACTTCCGCAACAGCGCTGCGAGATTGACCACATCCTTGCCGACTACCTTGAATACATGTGGACTGAGGGAGAGGGGAGGAGCCTAGCCGCTGACACGGTAGCGGGACTACAAGATCGAGACCCTCACTTGAAAGGACATCTCGTCATTAGTTGGCGCCTGTTAAAGACTTGGGCTTCCCATGAAATCCCCTGTCGGGCACCTCCGCTCACAGAGGAGGCGCTGCATACCCTTGTCGGTCATGCACTATTTCACAGCCGTGCGACTTTTGCTCTCTCCCTTCTCCTAGGGTTTCATGGGCTCCTTCGAACTGGGGAGCTTCTTGAACTTAAAGGCAAGGATGTCTCGCAAGCTAGCTCCACTTCTGTTGCAGTGATATCCCTGGGATTGACCAAGGGCGGACAACGAACAGGAGCCGCAGAAAGTGTGACTATCACTGAAGCCGACACGCTACGGCGCTTGTGGCAATGGAAACAGGCGGTTAGTCCAGGCACCAAGTTGTGTGATGCACCACACAAATGGAGGAAGATGTTTCAAACTACGGTTGAAGCTCTGGGCTTGGAGCAGTATCAGTATAGACCTTATAGCTTAAGGCGAGGTGGAGCCACTTTTTATTTTCAGCGTCACGGCCAGCTGGATAGGCTCCTCCTTCAAGGGAGGTGGCAGTCCAGTAAAACAGCACGTCTGTATATAAATAGTGGATTAGCTATCCTGGCCGAGACTGAATTGAACTTGGCCCCTCATGCACGCATGTTTCACAAACAATTTTTACGTACAAAGTCATTACCCTTGCCTCAACTTGAGCATGCCATACATGGCAGGGCAGGGGGAAGTGGGAGAACAAACTCCACTAGACGACAAAAGAGAAAGAACAAGGAAAATACGGAGTTTGGGGTAGGCGGGCTGGTTGTTCCCCGGTTTGGCGGGGCCCAGCACTACCCGCGTTCTTTGGCTCATGTTTACCTCGGGTAGGCGAGGAAGCATGGGGGGAACGCCTATGTTGATTTTATGAATGGCTGTTTGGTTGAATGGGAGTCTGAGTTCTTCTTTGTGAGAAGAACAAGTTTGGTGATGTAATTATTTTATTTGCCTCTGTGAGGTTTTTTGACCTAACAGGTCTTGCTGTGCACAAAAAAGGCGGGAAACCGGTGAGTCTTTATATATATATACATATATATATATACATATATATATATACATATATATATATATATACATATATGTTACTTTCGAGGTAACTGAGGCTAATTCTAAGGTAAGTGGACCCAGTAGATATCCATATATTATATAATATGTTCCACTAGGTTCCCCCCCTCCGTTGCAGCGGCTTCTGCTGCTACTGCGGCTGCTGCCGCCACCACCCTTCTTCTGCCGCCACGTGAAGGCCAGCCTGTGGTCGGAGGTGGCCGTGGTGGCTGATGAATAAAGTATCGGATTCTCATGATATAATTATAGTTATTATGTATATATTTTAGTTATAGTATATAATTATGTAATCAAAATCAAACATCATGACCCACGAAGCCGCCCTGCCGGTCCTCTTTCTCCAGGAGCTTCTGGTGGTGGTGGCGGCGGCTGCCGCCAGCAGCGAGCTGGGGGTTGATAAGGGTTTAGGGGTGATAGGGGGATTTGTTTTTTGGGGTCTAACTACCTTGAAAATAGACCCAAATACCTTGAATGAAACATATATATATATATATATTATTAATATATATATATATACATACACAATATACATGCATAATATACATACATAGTATACATACACACACACATATACAGATACACATCATATCACTATCCTTTTGTAAAACCTCCGTAGCTTCGATGCCAGGAGCAGGCGCAGAAAGGATACGAAGTGACCAAGGAGCGGGTGAACACCTACCGCGCCGGACAGGAGCTCCTTGATAAAGGCTGGAAGCGGTTGGTCGTTTTTTTTTGCCTATTATAGTTTGTGTTTTGACCTCTGTTCTTGGTGGTGAAAGCTCAAATTATGGTGAGAGAGAGAGAGAGCTTGTTTTTGAATATCAACTTCGATCAACTTCCTCTTTTGTTTTGGTTGTGAATATTCCACTGGTGGCGTCACCTCCTGACTTGATTAGGTGGAGAAGCCGCAGAGACTGCCATTCGAGGGAAGATGATGGCCAAGGCGAGAATATTCCGCAGCACCATGGGTTTAAGGGTCAGCCATCAGTTGTTTGTGTTTTTTGGGAACATTTTCAGGAAACCCCAGTTTGATGGAGAAAACCCATGGTTTCCGGTAGATGTTCCCTTAAACCAATCTTGCGAAATCAAGAGTTCAAGAGCCATGATCGAGGAAACAAAACACCTTGACGCGGTGATGAAACGATCCACAACAGCCAACTTTGATATTCACCAGGCCACTTGAGGGTGCAGTTCCGCTATCAGAAGTTGGTTGGTCATATCTCAACTCCGGTGAAGTCACCATTATCCCAGAATTAGTGTGAAAATCCGCAGGATCTCCTTGTATTTGGGGCCAAAAACCCATGGTTTCCTGTAGATTTCCACCACCAATCCATTGAACCATGGCTTGGGCCAGGTGGCCGTGGGCCACTCCGAAGAGCTGGTCACCCGCGCACGTGTGGCAAAGGAGACCTTGGAGGACGAGACAACGCGATGGGCGATGCATTTTTTTTGCAGAGGGTGGAGTCACGGTGGTTTTTTCGTGTGAACAGATGGGGGAAGAATTGGAATGGGATTTTGATGGATTTTGTTGTCCCCAACAACAGCCCCAACAACACATTTTGAGGTTTGATGGGCACAAAGAATCGCGGCCGAGGAGACTGTGCGCTGCCTGCGATCTGCACACCAGTCCGCAGAGAATTTGCCAGAAGGCTTGGAGAAATTTGGGGGAATCACCATAGGTCTGCGGGGAAAAAGATCCAGATCTGCTTGGTTGGGGGAAGTCTGTGGATTTCAGAAACTGTAGTTTGGAGTGACACAAATTGCTGGGGTATTTCCCATTTTTGGAGGAACCTCCAAGAGTTGTGCGTTGTGCTGTTCCTGCCAATCACCAACGGATTTTCGCAACTGTAGTGAAGGGTTTTTATAAATTGCTCAGATGGTGATTGAGAAAATCATAGAATGATGACATGCAGTAACAATGTAGTGCATATAATTATAATATATATATATATTATATATATATGCACTTTATAGAACCTGCACATGTAATGTTTGTCTTTTTTAGTGTTTGGTTTGTACCACTTGGCTGCTCGCCAACCCAAGTGTGGGGGTTGAGGGTGTTTTGGTTCTTGACCCGTCTCCAAGATTCTTCCAAGTTGAAGTACACCAGGTTGGAAACAAAGTAACGAACCATTCCCACATTTGTTTTGTGATGAATCTTGGGATTGTCCAGCATGGAAAATAGATGGCTGGATGCTACGATATCCGGGATGTAGATGTAAGTTCTGTGCTGGTTGTACATTTTCTCTACTGCAAATCATACATATATATTACATATATACATATACAGACATATGTATTCTTGTTGTAGTCTTGTTGAAAGCCAATCTTTTGATATAGATGTCGATGAATTCAATGTACGATTTTCAACCGAACGCAAACGGTTGAATTTTCAATTTCAATAAGCATTCTGAACGAATACTGGCAAAGAGGTAGCAGTCCGCAAATCGCATCTCCAAAATCAAGCGATGTGCATCCCATCTGTGGGTAACCATGGAGCATATTGTGAGCTGATGGATATACTGGCTGTACAGTTCTGGCTTACCACTGGGATGCAGGTGTGACAGGTGTCAGCAGCTTCGCCGAACTGGCTGAGGTGCGCAGCTTGATTATCTGGATCCATATTCGGCTGAGAGTCTACCCTCTGGTTATGTCAAAATAGCTATTGAAAATGGCCCATTTATAGTTGATTTACCTATTAAAAATGGTGATTTTCCATAGTTATGTTAGTTGACCAGAGTCTAATCTCTTTAGGTTTAGGAGTTTAGGGTATACTGGAATGAACAGAAAGTAACAATTTGAATAGGTCTGGAGTTAAATATATGGGTCCTCCTATAATAGGGGCTTTTACCAGCTTGGTTGTCGGCAGCCTGTTTATTGGGATATAATCTATCTATCTATCTATCCATCCATCCATCCATCCATCCATCTATCTATCTATCTATCTATCTATCTATCTATATGTCTATTCTAATCTAATCTTATCTAACCTAGTCTTATCTAATGTAATCTAATCTATTCTATTCTATTCTAATCAGTCAATCTATTTATCTTATCTTATCTTATCTTATCTTATCTTTTCTTTTTCTTCCCCTCTTATCTTATCTTTTCTTATCTCTTCTTATCTTCTCTTATCTTATCTATTCTATCTTTTATCATCTTCTCTTATCTTATCTATTCTATCTATTCTATCTATTCTATCTATTCTATCCATCCTATCTATCCTATCTATCCTATCTATCCTATCTATCCTATCTATCCTATCTATCCTATCTATCCTATCTATCCTATCTATCCTATCTATCCTATCTATCCTATCTATCCTATCTATTCTATCTATTCTATCTAATCTATCTAATCTATCTACTCTATCTACTCTGTCTACTCTATCTAATCTATCTAATCTATCTAATCTATCTACTCTATCTAGTCTATCTAGTCTATCTATTCTATCTACTCTATCTACTCTATCTACTCTATCTACTCTATCTACTCTATCTACTCTATCTGATCTATCTGATCTATCTGATCTATCTGCTCTATCTGCTCTATCTACTCTATCTGATCTATCTGATCTATCTGATCTATCTGATCTATCTGATCTATCTGATCTATCTGATCTATCTGATCTATCTGATCTATATATCTGATCTATCTAATCTATCTAATCTATCTAATCTATCTAATCTATCTACTCTATCTACTCTATCTACTCTATCTGATCTATCTGATCTATCTGATATACCTGATCTATCTGATCTATCTGATCTATCTGATCTATCTGATCTATCTGATCTATCTGATCTATCTGATCTATCTGATCTATCTGATCTATCTGATCTATCTAATCTATCTGATCTATCTAATCTATCTAATCTATCTAATCTATCTAATCTATCTAATCTATCTAATCTATCTAATCTATCTAATCTATCTAATCTATCTAATCTTATCGAATCTATCTAATCTTATCTAATCCTATCTAATCCTATCTAATCTTATCTAATCTTATCTAATCTTATCTAATCTTATCTAAATCTGATCTCATCTTATCTAATCTTATCTAGTCTTATCTTATCTAATCTTATCTAAATGTAATCTAACCTTATCTAAATCTAATCTAGTCTAATCTAATCTAATCTGTCCTAATCTAATCTATCCTAATCTAATCTATCCTAATCTAATCTATCCTAATCTAATCTATCCTAATCTAATATATCCTAATCTAATCTATCCTAATAAATATATCCTAATCTAATCTATCCTAATCTAATCTATCCTAATCTAATCTATCCTAATCTAATCTATCCTAATCTAACCTATCCTAATCTAATCTATCCTAATCTAATCTATCCTAATCTAATCTATCCTAATCTAATCTATCCTAATCTAATCTATCCTAATCTAATCTATCCTAATCTAATCTATCCTAATCTAATCTATCCTAATCTAATCTATCCTAATCTAATCTATCCTAATCTAACCTATCCTAATCTAATCTATCCTAATCTAATCTATCCTAATCTAATCTATCCTAATCTAATCTATCCTAATCTAATCTATCCTAATCTAATCTATCCTAATCTAATCTATCCTAATCTAATCTATCCTAATCTAATCTAATCTATCCTAATCTAATCTATCCTAATCTAATCTATCCTAATCTAATCTATCCTAATCTAATCTATCCTAATCTAATCTATCCTAATCTAATCTATCCTAATCTAATCTATCCTAATCTTATCTACCTAATCTATCTATCCATCTATCTATCCATAGATCATCTATCTATCCATCTATCCATCTATCCATCTATCTATCCTATCTATCCTATCTATCCTATCTATCCTATCTATCCTTTCTATCCTATCTATCCTATCTATCCTATCTATCCTATCTATCCTATCTTATCCTATCTTATATTATCTTATCTTATCTATCTATCTGTCTGTCTGTCTGTCTGTCTGTCTGTCTGTCTTGTCTGTCTTATCTGTCTTATCTGTATTATCTGTCTTATCTGTCTTATTTGTCTTATCTGTCTTATCTGCCTTATCTGGCTTATCTGTCTTATCTGTCTTATCTGTCTTATCTATCTTATCTATCTTATCTATCCTATCTATCTTATCTATCTTATCGATATTATCTATCTTATCTATCTTATCTATCTTATCGATCTTATCTATCTTATCTATCTTATCCATCTTATCCATCTTATCGATCTTATCGATCTTATCTATCTTATCTATCTTATCTATCTTATCTATCTTATCCATCTTATCCATCTTATCGATCTTATCGATCTTATCGATCTTATCGATCTTATCTATCTTATCTATCTTATCTATCTTATCTATCTTATCCATCTTATCCATCTTATCGATCTTATGGATCCTATCGATCTTATCGATCTTATCTATCTTATCTATCTTATCCATCTTATCCATCTTATCCATCTTATCTATCTTATCCATCCTATCCATCTTATCCATCTTATCGATCTTATCGATCTTATCTATCTTATCTATCTTATCTATCTTATCTATCTTATCCATCTTATCCATCTTATCTATCTTATCTATCTTATCGATATTATCTATCTTATCTATCTTATCGATCTTATCTATCTTATTGATCTTATCTATCTTATCCATCTTATCCATCTTATCGATCTTATCGATCTTATCGTTCTTATCTGTCTTATCTATCTTATCTATCTTATCCATCTTATCCATCTTATCGATCTTATCGATCTTATCGATCTTATTTATCTTATCTATCTTATCTATCTTATCTATCTTATCTATCTTATCCATCTTATCCATCTTATCGATCTTATCGATCCTATCGATCTTATCGATCTTATCTATCTTATCTATCTTATCCATCTTATCCATCTTATCGATCTTATCTATCTTATCTATCTTATCTATCGTATCTATCTTATCTATCTTATCGATCTTATCTATCTTATCGATCTTATCGATCTTATCCATCTTATCTATCTTATCGATCTTATCGATCTTATCTATCTTATCTATCTTATCGATCTTATCGATCTTATCTATCTTATCCATCTTATCTATCTTATCTATCTTATCTATCTTATCTATCTTATCTATTTTATCCATCTTATCGATCTTATCGATCTTATCGATCTTATCGATCTTATCTATCTTATCTATCTTATCTATCTTATCCATCTTATCCATCTTATCGATCTTATCTATCTTATCTATCTTATCGATCTTATCGATCTTATCGATCTTATCTATCTTATCCATCTTATCCATCTTATCCATCTTATCCATCTTATCTATCTTATCTATCTTATCTTTCTTATCTATCTCATCCATCTTATCCATCTTATCGATCTTATCGATCTTATCTATCTTATCTATCTTATCGATCTTATCGATCTTATCGATCTTATCTATCTTATCGATCTTATCTATCTTATCTATCTTATCTATCTTATCTATCTTATCGATCTTATCTATCTTATTGATCTTATCTATCTTATCTATCCTATCTATCTTATCTATCTTATCGATCTTATCGATCTTATCTATCTTATCTATCTTATCGATCTTATCGATCTTATCGATCTTATCGATCTTATCTATCTTATCGATCTTATCGATCTTATCGATCTTATCGATCTTATCGATCTTATCCATCT